AATCCTTCAGGCCCCTTAACCACAGCAGGAGAGAGCCCAGCGGGCAGGAGGGGCTCACCGCCCCCCAGGGAGGACTTGGCTGAGACTTTGGGCCTGTTGTGGGCCCTGGACCCCTCCTACCCATGCCAGGTCTCAGGGACAAGCCTTGGACAGGGCGTCCGTCCTCTGGAGTGAGACCACTGTGAGGCTGTTCTGGGGTGCAGGGCTGAGTCTAGCTCCTCTGCCACCGTCCGCTCCTCAGACACAGTCCTGAAGGGTCAACCTATGGGTCACTTCCAACCTGCCTGTGCTTAGAGTTCTGTTTGAGGACAGCGGGCTGATGACACTCCTAGAGTCTTTCCTAACACAGGCCAGACTCACAGCTCTTGCTCAGGAAAACGAAACTATTCTTGTCTTAGGATCCAGTTTTGGCAGTTTATGTTCTCAAAGCAGTCACAGGTAAAGAGAAGTTATTCGCAGTTTGTGTTGCTTTGATATTGCACATGGAAGGGAAAGGCGTACTGTTTCCTGTTCGTAGCTGTACTGTCGAGAAGAACAAGTGAAAACAGGCACTCTGGGTTTACTCACCAACACAACCACCTCTCTGGCGCCTGCCTCGGAGTTGTCCCCGCCTGGGATCCCTCTGCCCCTCCCGTTCCACAGCCAGGCAGTGGCTCTTGGTTTTCAGTAGTCATTCTCCACGCTTTGCAACCACTTTAACCACTGTGAGCACAAGATGGAACACTGTCTGCGAGACACAGCCCTGCCCAGTCGGCAACCCCACCCCACCCCCTGGGCCAGCTCCGTGCTGAGCTGCGGCCCCACGATCAGGCCTCTCCCAGCAGGCCGGGTCCTGCCAGGCACCGGTGGGTGCTGCAAGAGGCCCAGGCAGGCCCATCGGCACTGCTGCAGGGACCGAGGCCACGGCCTTCCGGCTTCCTGCCCGTGACTGGCTGCAGCACAGACAGCTCTGTCCAGCAGCCACAGCACAGTGGCTGGTGTCTCCAGCTGGCTGACCCCTCACTTGGACCACTGGGCCCTGGATCCGATTTCCGGCTGCAGAGCCAGAACCTGAGTCCAGAAAACCTCTCGGGCAGTTCCAGTCCCTCTGCACCTGACGCCCAGAGGCACCGAAGTCAGCAGGGAGCGAGGCAGTGAGCGCCGTGGCACTGTGGGCGCCTCGCCCGGCTGGTCGCCGGTGCTGGCGGGCAGGGTCCCCGAGTGCATGAGACCTGCACAGCCAGGCACAGGCGCGACAGAACCGGAGATCCAGAGAAGGGGGCCCGAGCCCCAGAGCCCACGTTTCACGCTGCAGGGGACAGCGTCCGAACCTAAGCACTGCGGACACATTTCATACCTGAGAATTCTCGCCGTTCTCATCACTATTATAAACTGAATGTAAACAAAGTCTTGTGAATGTACTTCCTTAAGAAAACTTGTAAACATTTTTATTAGGAAAGAATATTTAATATTGAACTCTGGCCCATTTTGTGGCAGACTATAAAGTGCACAAATTTAGGAAATCACCATTTCTCACTTCTGTGTTTTCTTGAAAATAATTTTGTTACAGTGTTCAATATACCGTGTATTATTGATCTTCTGTTGTGAAAGGAAATTTAAAGGATTCCATCAAAACTAGTAATGTACTTTAAGTTATGAGTGTGAAACTGTGTGTTAATTTTGTGACTGTAATCCTAATCATGTGCTGTGTGATTCTGATCACAAAATCATGTGCCTTAAGATGCCCCTCCTGCCGTGCCGCTGGCAGTGCCCAAACAGGGAGCCTCGTCACCAGAACCCGCAACGACTGCTTGATCGATTCTATTAAAACGTTTTGAGGCATTCTGGGTACAAAGTTTGTCTGCACACGAGAGGTCGTGCCCAGGGGTCTCCGGGCGGCAGACACTGCCCTGCTCAGGCGTCAACGTGCGCACAAGTGTGTGTGTGCGACACACCATCTTTCCCAGCCGGGTGAGGACCCTGCTGGACACACAGTGGGGCAGCGCCTGGGAACCGGCACAGCCAGGGCACTAGGAGCGAGCCCTCCCGGACAGAGGCAGACAACGGGGCAGGGAGGCCCCAGGGAGGGTAGAGGCCCAGCCAGGCCTGCACAGAAGCTGAGGGGCCCAAAGGGGTGGCCTGGATAGGAGGGAGTGGGCGGAACACCAGCATGGATGGGGCATTGCACAGAGCTTTCCCTGGACAGAAACCCCCAAGCATTGGGGCTCCATGTTTTGGGGTGCACTCATGACAGCAGCTTAGACTGCAGTCGACAGGCATGGTGGCACAGCAGGACCAGGTCAGGGTGGCCGGGTGGGCCATGAACAGCAACAGACGGGCAAGTGCTCCTCAGTCCTGTCTGTCACACAAACAGAACCCTGGGCCCTTTCCTCACTTTCTGGGACCCCACTGAATCAAATGCAGAGTGCAGGAGCTGTCCTCACTTGAAAGACGTGCTCCTGGCTGACCACCTCCCGGAGGTGGAGCCCGAGGCCGGTGTGTGCCCCACCGCAGTCCTGCCTGTGGTCTGGGCGCCCGCTGCCCTCCCTGGACGTGGCCTGCCCAGGACCTGACGCAGGCGTCCTCTACTGAGTGGCTTGGAGATGAACCCCACACTTCCAGCACGTCCCGACCACATCCTGCCACCCACTGACCCACGGACGTCCCTAAGGGGGTGCGGCCAGTGACACGGGGCCTGTGGTCCCTGAGACAACCAGCAAAAACCCCTGTGAGGACAACACGTGCCACCTGGGTGAACTGTCACTATTTGAATCGTCACTCTGGACATTCACCCAGAAGGAACTTGGAGGGAGACTTAGTGGGAGAATAATGTGTTTTCATTATTATGAGATGCAATAATTAGTGATTGTTAACACTGTGGGTTTTATTAATTCAATATGTATTTATTGAGCACTTACTATATGCCAGACATATTCAAGGCAATATCGTTAAGTGGGGAACCAGATTAATATGTACATTGAGAGACAGCACATTAGATATCTTTAGGAAGACCACATCTCTTCTTAGCCAATAACACTTATAAGAACTGTTACCTAATTTTTATTTACTTAACTCTATTCAGGCATTTCTGAGGGGGGCTGCACCTTCCCACCTGTTTGCTCAGAGGGGCCCTACAAGGAACGGGCCCCAGTCACTGCAGAGCGGGCATCTACACCCACCACACGCCTCCCACGGGACCTGGTCCAGGCTCCTCCACGGATTCTGGGGCAAAAGCCTGTTCCTGCTCTGACACAGCACTGGGCTTCCACTCTTCTGCCACAAACGCACAGCGCTCTGGATCCCTCGATTTCTGAAGCTTCAGACCTGACCTGACTTCTGTCCCTTACTGCTCCCTGCTGCCCCTCTCTCTCGCCCAGCAGGTGCAATCCCTGGACCTGAGTCCGCTGATGGTGGAGTCTTCTGTCTCCCACACTTCTCCAGATCTAGTTCTCCACCTCGTCCCTGTCTCCCTGCTCACGTCAGCCTCAGCCTGCGCCCTCAGCGCTCCCCACCTCTAGTTCTGGGAGCCAGGGCGGCCCCTGAACGGCAGATCTCACTGCAAGGAACTGCCCCCACCTCCAGTGGAGAGGCGGAACCAAGCCCGATGCCTTCTTTTCCAACAGTTTCACCAAACTTGATTTGCTTTTCCCCAGATTCTGTGGCCCTGCACCCCTCTCCTGCCCAGGCAGTCCTGATTTGAGGGTCAGCCAGCTCTCGAACGACAATGATAAAAAGGAGCACACACTGGTCTTTCTACAGAGACAGACCCCAGGGCCAGTGTGGCTGTGGGGCTTGTTCCTGGGTAGGTGGTTTTGTTAGTTTGGATTTTTTGGCAGGAGAGGGACAGCGTGGTTGTCTACAAGTCCCCGCAGATGATTCCCCCAAACTCTTAGTAATCTGGCCCCTTCTTGCAATCCAGTCTGCTGGGAGAGGCCATGGAGCTCCCATGTCCTGTCTGGCGTGAGACGGACGCTGAACGTCAGCGGAACTGAGCCACCCAAGCACGCCCAGGCGGAGAAGGCCCCCACATGGGTCCCCACAGCGCCCTGTGTTGGTGGTGGCTGCGCCCCTGCACCGCAGAACGGCAACGTAGGGCTTTTTTCTTCCTCCAGCTCTTGGCTGTAATTGGATTCAGGCTTAAACTACCATGTCCCCAACCAGGAAAACATTCTAGGTTTTGATTCTTCCAAGAAAAAGTTCTATCTCTATATTTTTCACATCCTGTGAGGATAAAATAAAAGCTAAATGTCAACCTTGCAATTTTGAAAATGTCTCGAGAGAAAACGAAGCACAGGTCTACACAGGTGGCCCTGAAGGGTGCAGGCGGGCCCACCGACAGCCCTCCTGCCCTTCCCTCTGATCTAGTGAGGCCCGGGGCCCCGAGAGGGGGGACGACCCACCCGTGCACATGGGAGAGCCGGGGCAAGAGGAGAGGTCAGCGCTGGTGCCCTGGGGCTGCCAGGAGACAAGCATGAGCAGGGGCCACAGGACACGTGGGTGCTGCCCATTCTGGGCATGATTCTCACGAGTAGCTTTCTATGAAACGGAAGATTAAAGTGCAAAACGATGCTACGATGGAAGGGAGATTCTGCAGAGAGATGGCCGAGTTGCAGGAAAGTATTTAACGAATTCTGTGTCAAGCATGAGCATGACTCACAGATCTTGAAACGTGTTCCAAATAAACATTCACTTTCATACATGCTTTTACCAGGATTTACACTCATGCTGGGGCTGGTCCACCAGGCAGACGGCCCGGCCGGCACTGCTCAGTGCCGGAGGCCTGAGGCGCAGGGACATGTGTGCTGCCGGTGAGTTTCCCGCCTGTCAGGGGCGAGGAGGGAGCCCAGGGCCAGCCGGGCAGGACGAGTGAAGCCAGGACAGCAAGGACAGGGCCTTCTCCGAAGGCTGAGGGACAGTTTTAGTTCCATAGCTGACGACCTACAAGCAGCTTCTGGCACTGCTAGATCATCGCCAGTCAGAAAACCTGGACTGCAGAAGAGAAACCACCTCGCACTCGTCTCTCTGGGGAGGATGAGACTTTAATTTCAGCAGAGGTCAGGGTGTCCGCACAGGCGGGATGCGTCCCTCCCTCCACGACCGCCACGGGGTTTGCAGCAGAATCCGGCCCACGCAGGGCCTCACACAAACACGCGGGAGCCTCTGGCACTGCGGCCACCAGGATATCACTCCACGCACCTCAGACAACAGGTTTCGGTGCCAGAGAGACGGGCGCGAGGAACCGGGACCCCACCCCCTGGGGCTGGGCAGACGCCTACTTGAGCAGCTTGGCCACGTTCAGACTGGGCACGGCAATGTCCCTGAAGAGCGGCACATAGCTGGGACTCGTCTGGGTCGCGCCCTGCTCCAGGGTCTCGATGATGGTCTGCTTCATGTCCCGGCTGGCGTCCCCGCGCATGGCCAGCAGCGCGCCGATGTGGTCCTCTCTGGGGGGAGGGGAGAGTGAGCCTGCACCCTCGGCTCACACCCACGCCCACGCCCAGGCTGTGGGCACCCACGGCTCACACCCACGCCCACGCCCACGCTGTGGGCACCCACGGCTCACACCCATGCCCAGGCTGTGGGCACCCACGGCTCACACCCACGCCCACGCCGTGGGCACCCAGGGCTCACACCCACGCCCAGGACCAGGCTGTGGGCACCCATGGCTCACACCCACGCCCAGACTGTGGGCACCCACGGCTCACACCCACCACGCCCACGGCCAGGCTGTGGGCACCCATGGCTCACACCCACACCCATGGCTCACACCCACACCCCACGGCCAGGACACACCGGTCACCTGCGCCCACACACACCACAGTGTCGGCCATGTATGTGGGCATAGAAGGCATCCTGCTCCCCGGGCCCTCCACGCAGGCCCGTCTGTGCCGTGTTCCTGCCCAAACCCTCCGTGCGCACAGCTGACCTCCAGACCTATGACCTCTCTGCCTTCCCAACGACAGTGCGGAGGGCCGCCGCACCTGGGAAATCTGACGGGAGAGGCTCGTCCATTGTTACCTGATGTCTGGGTACTTGCTGACCAGAGTCGAGACTTCCAGGTAGAGCAGGGAAGGGTCCGTCAGCTTGATCACTTCTGCGACGGCCACGATGGTGTCGCAGTGACCGTCCGCGTCTTCTCCAAACCCCTGGAAAACAGCAGGCGTGTGAGGAGCAGCCCTCGGCCCCACAGGAGGGTTCCGGCACCTTCAGACCCTTCCCTGGCCAGGCACCCTCCTCTTTCATGCAGACACTTCAGGTTTGTGCAGAAGGTGAGGTGGGCCATGCCAGGGGCGGCTGTGGAGCACGCCAGAGAGTGCGCCCAGCACCTCAGAACAAAGTGCGCCACGAGGCCACGGGCTGCCACGGCATCTGGGAGCCACCACAGAAGTGCGCCCGCCCTGGTCACTGTCCCAGCCACCGAGTCGGCAGGCTCTGGACGCCAGCGCTCCACCTGATGACAGCAGGGGTTCCTGCGTTACGTGGCTCCTGACGTGAGCAGCCCTGATCAACTGGCCTGAACCGTTCTGGGGTGGAGACTGAAAAGGCAGCCGCAGGACCACACTCTCTGCGCTCCGGCAGCTGCACAGAGGAACCATGATGGGAGAATTCCACGACGCAGCTGCCAATCACTCACGGCTTTCACACCACGCCGGAGACGCTCACCGAAGCCAGCTTCCGGAATAGGAAGCGGAGCTGCTCTGCCTCCCTGACCATCTTCTCGGCACCCTCCTTGCGTTCCTCGGGGCTCCGGAAGGAAATGCGCTTCTGCATGACGGCCCGCAGGTACTCCACCACCACGCGCCGGTGTGCCTCAGCCGTCATCCTCTGCGGGAGAGACAGCAATCTGCTGCGGGGCACTGCCACGCCGGCAGACACGCGTGTCCCACTGAAACCCAGGCTGGGCTCACACCACTCCCTCAGCCTGTCTCTGAGCGTCTCACCTGAGGGCAGAGCGTGGGCTCGACAGGGAACCCCGGGCCAGACCAGCTCCGGCCTCCCTGGCCTGACGCGACGCGACGGAATCGACCCACGTGAGGCACACGCGTCAGCGCTGCATCCGCAGCCGGCAGCAGTACCTGCTGCTGAGCGCAGCTTAGCTAACGACCACGCACCTGACAACCGTGATGGCAGCTTCACAGGAAAGAGGAGCCCAGGGTCAGACAGCGGGTGAGTTTCAGACGGGAGGGAGGACGTGGCAGGGAAGGGAGGCCCTGGGGCACCAGGGTGAGGGAAGGACAGAAGCCAAGGTGGGCACGTGGGCTTGCTGGAGAGGCTCCCCAGGACGACGGAAGACAACGACAGCCGACACTGGCTGGTGGCAGCAGGCCCCTGGGGGCTGCGTCCACTCCACCGGGCATCTGTGCGGGGTCTGCACCCCGTGGGAGGCTTGTGAGTGTGAGCGACCGTGAAGACTCACCGGGTACAAAACTGCCACTGGGCCTCAGGGCTCGGCTGCCACGCCCAGCAAGATGCACAAGATGCACCGGCCCCAAGCAAGCGGCAGCTGCGCCCAGGAGCCTCCGACCCAGAGAGCCAACGTTCTGCAGAACGGAAGTGCCCTCTCCTGGGCCATAAGGGTCTCAGAGATTCCACTGCCCATACAATCCACAGCCGAAGGTCGCAGAAGCACAAGAGAGCAGCCACCAGCACAGCCAAAACCCAACAGGCCCCACCTGGGACCAGCACCCGGCCCAGCTCAGGACCCAGGCTTATCTCACACCAACTGACAGCTACCTACAAAACATTTAAAGAAACAAAAGGTGCTAAAACATGCAAAAAAAGATTCAGAATTGACCAGATAAGTTTAAAAAAATAAACACCTATAATTTGTGGGAATTAGAATTCTTGAAACGTAAACTTAATAGTTAAAAGAACTTCATTGAAAGTTAGGTTATAAAACCACTTTTAAGAAAAAAAAAGAAACCTAACCATTAAACAATGATAAATTTGCCATTAAAATTAAGGACATTGTTCCTCAAAGGAAACTGTGAGGAGTTAGAATCTGCACCGGGCTGCCCGGCTGGCTCACAGTGACCACATGCCAGCAGCTCCACAGTACTGAGGCCGGGCCAGACGTCGCAGGGCTGCTCCTGGGGCCCCTCCTGGGCCAGTTGACACGTCCCCTCCCTGAGTCCTCAGAGTTATCCCTCTGTGCTTGTCTGTGTCCTCAACTCCTCTTCTTAGGAGGACACCAGCCACACTGGTCGGGGCCACCCTGACACCTTGTGTTAACTCAACCGCTTCATTGAAGACCTGTCTCCAGATGCAGCCCATTCTGAGGTCCTGGGGGTCAGACTTTGACATGTGAACCTGGGGGACATGATTTGGACCGTGACAGAAACACACAGATGGGAAGAGCATGTAACTAAGAACCCATTTCTAGAACATACAAAAACTCCTACAGATGGAAAAAGTAACAGACAACTTGGTACAAAAACGTGCAAAAGACCTGGATGGCACCTCAGAAAGAGGAATCCGAGTGACCAGCCAGGTAAAAGGTGTCCACTCATCAACAAGGGGATGCCAGTTAACCACAGAGAGATCCAGACGGCAGACTCAGAAGGGCAGCTGTGCTGGTACACCCACTGCCACCCACCCCAGCCCCGCTCAGGACAGAGTGACCCGTGGCCGTGGGATCCTGCACAGCAGAGAAAGCAGACGCTCGCCACCGCTGCTTGGGGGGTAAAGCAGAAAAGTGAGACGAAGACGACAGCGTGATGGCGCATACGCCAAATCTGGGAGCACCCCACACCTGGCTCCACTGCAAGGCGCACACAGGCGGGTGTCTGAGAGGCCAGGACCCGGGAGGAGGACGGCGCGTGCCCAGAACGGGGCCGCCATGCGCCTCCCTCTCTGGTGCTGGGGACACGGTGTCGGGCCTGTCACTCCCTGTGGACGGCGCCTTTTTATCTCGTGTATCCTTAACGGATACAGCCCCCCTCGGGCTGCGCCACCAGCAGAGCCTCACTCACAGAACTCGCCGGACACTGGGTTCCAACAAGACACGAGGGGCCCTGGCTAGAAGGTGAACCGTGGACAGCGCCCCACATCCTTACCTTCTTATACGGCTTCTTAATTTTGGCAAAATCGTTGAAATAGTCTTCCACGGTGACACAGATGATGTCCACGGCGTTTGACCCCAACAGCCACTTCTTTGTCATCAGCTCGTTCAGATGTTGCTAAAAAGCACAAATGGATCATAGAAACCACCACCTCGAGCCATAGTCACACCCACGGGAGGACGGGTCTCTGCTATGTCCCCCGACCTTCTGATTATGACAGCAAGATGCCTCAGGTAAAACCTCTGTTACGCAGTCGGCACATATGTGCCACAGCTGCACACACCGACAGCTGAGACACAAACATGTCCATGTGTGTACATCTTCTGCCTTTGGTGTCTGCATGTATGTATTACATGGATGTTTACCCAATTCTCCATTGATAGACACAAATTTTTTCACATTTTGCAATTATAAGTAATGCAACAATGAATTTGTATATTTCAGCAGGTGAAATTCCTTAAAATAAAATTCCTTAAGTCAAAAAATATGCAAATTAAAACTACGATAACCGTTTCCAAACTGCCCTCCCCAAACCGTGCTGATTCAGTTATGCACAAAATACAAAAACACATCCTTTTTCTCATGCCCTCAACTGAGTGTGTATCTGTTTTTAATCGTTGCCATCCTGCTAGGTAATAAATATAATAATATTCAGTCTTTTGTTTTTGACACACGGTCTCACTTGTCACCCAGGCTGGAGTGTAGTGGCGTCATCATAGCTAACTGCAGCCTCCAACTCATGGGCTCAAGTGATCCTCCTGCCTCAGCCTCCCGAGTGGCTGGACTACAGTGCCACCTACCATACCCAGCTAATTTTTAGTAGAGATGGGGTCTCACTCTTGCTCAGGCTGGTCTCGAACTCCTGAGCTCAAGTGATCCTCCTGCCTTAGCCTCCCAGATTGCTGGGAGCCACCATGCCTGGCCAGTATTCAGTCTTCATCTGCATTTCTTTGATGATCAGTAATATTGGGTATTTTGTTTTGGACACTGGTATTTCTTTTTCCATGGTCATTCATGTCCTTTGTCTATTTTTCTATTATACTGTCTTTTTTTACATTGTGAGATAATTTCAAATGCAAGCATTTGCCTCTTTTCTACAAACCAGCTGAGAGTTAAAGTGTCTCTTCCCCTAGGGAAGCTCTCACTGCATCTCCTCTCACCCAGCAGGCGCTGCCCACGGTCGGCAGCTACGTCTACCAACCACGCTGGGTCTTCAGTGGGACCACGACATGCTCACGGTTTATTTCTTAAACACGTCCCAATTCTGCCAAACAGCTAAATAATGCTAAACCACCTGTGTACTTCTGAAATAACCCTACTTGTTGAAGGTGTGTTATGCCTTTGATAAGGTGCTGAAATCATTCTGTGAATGACTTTCGTGTGTGTGTTTTGCATCTTTATTCAAAGGTGAAACTGGTCTATGTGACGTGACTGTGGCTGTGTGTGCTCAGTCTGGCTTCGTGACAGGCGTCTCCATACTTTCTTCTATTTTGTAATATGCTAGGTAGTCTGCTGTCCTCAGCGTTTACTCAGAGTCTCTGCTGAGTGTGCATGAGAAGGACCCTGTGCCACGTCACGGGACACAGAGGTCCTCTGCCCTGCTTTGCCACGAGCGCAGTGCACGGCTCAGCGCACAACACAGTGTCCGCACGGGGCAGTTTCCATGTGTCCCCAGGGGCAGTGTAGAGCCGTGTTTCACAGCCCAGAAATGCAGGCGAGGGCCAGCCCACCTCCAGGTCCAGGAAGACCTCCTCGAGCAGCCCGCCGCAGCCCTCCTTGGCGATGGCGTCCAGGACCCCGTCCATGTGCGGCTGGCTCAGAGACACGCCCTCCTCTTCATTCTTCAAATACTTCCTTTTCAGACTGACTATAGATTCCCTGCAAGGAAACATGTCAGGTTCAGTGAGGAGCCGGAGAACCCCACTCTCCCCGCCCCGCTGCAGCAGCCTGGTCTGGCTCACTTGAAGGTCTGGCAGTTGTTGACGATGGCGATCATGTACTGCACGTAGCAGTGCGGGCGCTGCCGGTCCCGCAGGTGCTCCTCCCGGTACAGCTGCGCCTCCTCCTTGTACCTGCGGGCACAGGTGCACGTCAGAACGGCGTCCGAGGGCAGCCAGAGCGACTCAAGCGCCATTACGCCCGAGATAGAAACTGAACTTTTGACCAGATACGCTTTTAAAAATGAATCTTCAGGGCCGGGCGCTGTGGCTCACGCCTGTAATCCTAGCTCTTGGGAGGCCGAGGCGGGCGGATTGCTCAAGGTCAGGAGTTCAAAACCAGCCTGAGCAAGAGCGAGACCCTGTCTCTACTATAAATAGAAAGAAATTAATTGGCCAACTGATATATATAAAAAAAAAAAAAAAATTAGCCGGGCATGGTGGCGCATGCCTGTAGTCCCAGCTACCCGGGAGGCTGAGGCAGAAGGATCACTCGAGCCCAGGAGTTTGAGGTTGCTGTGAGCTAGGCTGACGCCATGGCACTCACTCTAGCCTGGGCAACAAAAGCGAGACTCTGTCTCAAAAAAAAAAAAAAAATGAATCTTCAGGTGATCCACACTAACAGAAGGACAGAATAATTGATCATCTACATGGATCATTAAAAAATAATTCCAGATCAGCCTTCACAATATGGTTTAGTGTTCCATTTAGTAACTGTAACAATATTGTGAAACATTTAATTGTAAGTATTGGAAAATGATTATCTTATTTTATCTGATACACAACTTACCAAGAAACTCATATAATAGTATTAAGAATATCAGCAAAATGTCCTTTTCAGAAAATTTCCCAGAAGAAACCCAATTAAAAATTATCAAGAAGACAGTTGAAATATCAAGAAAACAAACAATTAGTATGGCTACATACTTTGTTTTTAAATGTATTACAGAGATTCTCAAACATACATGGGAGTAGAATACTACCATGAATGGTCTATAAATATTTTTAAGAGATGTTAAGAAAGGAGCGAACAAGGTTCGGCATCAAGGGAATGCGTTAGGCATTATTATTTTGCCTTTCTGTCCAAAGTGTGGCTCAGGGCGGCAGATGGCTGAGGGAGGTCAGGGCAGCTCCCTCCACAGTAGACCCCACCCCATCAATGACCAACTCGGGCCGAGACCCCTCCGGGGATGGGATAGAGCAGCAGCCCCCAGTCTTTTTGGCACCAGGGCCCAGTTCCATGAAAGACAATATCTCCACGGACGGGGTGGGGTTGGGGGCCGAGCTCAGGTGGTGATGCGAGCCATGGAAGCGGCTGTAACACAGAGGAAGCTTCGCTCATGCACCTGCCACTTGCCTCCTGCTGTGAGGCCCATTCCTAAGTTCCATGGAAGACAATTTTCCACGGATGGGTGGGGGTGGGATGGGTGCAGCAGGTGGTAATATGTGGCCCAGTTCCCAACAGGCCATGGACTGGGAGTTGGGGACCACAGGGACGAGGGACTCAGGCCATGAACCCTGTGGATGGATGGATGGCGGGGGACTCTGAGCAAAGGGCTCGAACGTTGGTACCTGAGCCACCAGGACAGGACAGACGGAAGCCACATCTACTGCCAGATGCAGCGCAAGGGCACGCTGGCCAGGGAGTAAATGAAGAGAGAGCTGAGCAAGACTCACAGCTGACTTTGGGGTGGTGGGCAGGTGGCAGTTTGAGGACCAGGCTGAGGGATGCCATGAGGGTGCTGGACACAAGAGACCTGCTTGGCTCTCCCACAGCCAGGGCTGGGTGGGGCTGCTCTCCTGACCAGAGACTGGCTCCCCAACGACCGTGTGCGAGGCAGACCCCGCGGAAACCCCCGTGCACACTGGGTGGCACTACAGCTGCAGTGGGGAATACAGGGAAGCAAGGCCAGCCTCTGGGGTTTGCCTCAGACAACTCCAGCGGAGGGAAGGATGGCGGGGAGAAGATTAGGCTCGGGGGCTCTGGAAGGGGCACTTTTGAACCTGGGCAAGGGATGAACAGTCTTTGGAGCCATCTTTCTACTTCTGCGTAGGTTTGAAAATCTTCTTCACAAGCAGCCCAGAGGGAGGGCAGCATGCCGGGCAGTGCCCAACTCGAAGCCAGGCCCCCCCCACTGCCAGCGCCCCCCACTGCCAGCCCCCACCAGTGCCAGTGCCCCCTGCCCCAGAGCAGCCGTGTCCCAGCCCAGGAGTTTGAAGGCTCCAACTGCGGTGCCAGCACATCGGAGCCCACTGCGCAGCAGGGAGGGGAGCCCGGGTGGACCCTGTGATCCACAAGAAAGGGCGATCACAACGGTGCCCTGCTGCTCCTTCTGCGTTGCTAAGCAACAAAAGGTGGTGACGTTCGGGGAATCTCCAGTCTTAACTGTTGTTCATAACAGGCATATTAGGGTCAACTAATTTTTGCTCTCAACTTTTAAAAACATGTAATTTCTAAATTAGCAGATTGGCAAAAATACATACCTACTTAGGAAAGAATTCATTTGCTGAAGACACAAAACTAGTACCTTTGTTTTCAAATCTTCACTTATCTGAGCAGCAACTTGAAGATTCTGTTCGAACATCTAAAAATTGAAGAACTTATGAATTCTGATATAATCTCACACGAATACACTTAGAGCACAGGTGTCTAGTAATATAAACCCCCGCCTGCTAACTGGTAGTTAGAGTGTCTAAATTCAGAAAAAAAAAAATGAAACTACTGTGTTTCCCTAAAAATAAGACCTACCCATAAAATAAGCCCTAGCAGGATCTCTAAGCATTTGCGCAATATAAGCCCAACCCCAAAAATAAGACCTAGTGACGGGTGTGGCTACACAGCATATCTGCACAACCCATGCATTTCGTCGTGGAGTGGTAAAGAAGATGGGCAGGCCTTCTCTTCTGCCCCATGAGAGCTCTATTGCTCGATATGAGAGATTGGGGCCAATGGTCCTAAAGGAAATAGAGTCACAAAAAATTCAGGATGGAATTCGGGGTTTGGAGAGTTATGATGAGGTTCCAGAAGACTTAATTATATTTGAATAAATGTAGATTGTTGTACCATACTTAAAAAAATAACATATCCCCTAAAAATAAGCCCAGGGGGTCTTCTTGAGGAAAAATAAATATAAGACCTTGTCCTATTTTCAGGGAAACACAGTACTTGAAAATTAACAAAGTCAGCTAAAAAACAAAGAACTTTCTCACCAGGCAACATGTGAATCATTTCTTAATTACCTGCAGACTGATGTCTACCAAGGGGCGCGTGTCTGCCCGCATGCCGAGAGACAGGAGCTGGGACGTGCTGACGGGAGGCGCCCCGGCCTCTCCTGAGGGCGTTTCACCCTCACTCATGTCTACCTACTTTCTGACGCAGGTTTCTTAAGAGCCAGGGGACAGCACCAGGCCAGTGAGCAGGACAGGGCGGAGGAGGAGGGCGTGGGGTGGAGCTGTCTCGTGCGTTAGTCTCCAGCATGAAGGAGAAGGGGGCCTGAGGTGTTGCTGACCGACAGTGTCATCCAGGGAGAACCATCACACGCCAGCCTGGCCACAGTCTAAACCCTGTCCCAGGAGACGGAGTCCCCTGTGGATGCTCTAACACTGCTCAGCTCCCACCCTGGCCGCTTCCCTCAAGGGAAGAAAACGTCACTCGCCCCAGAGCCAGGAGTGTGGGGAACAGGCGGCAGGGCACTGGGGCTCAGGAAGCCCTTAGGACGTCCGGGCGGTCGGCACCTGGTACTACCACCAGTGCAGGAAAGCACCTTGAAAACGCTAAAGGTCTTTCCCCAAATCCACCAGACTAGACTCAGTCATGTGGGGTTTCTGATACCAAAATCTTGGCCATTCACAACAGTAAGAAACATCAAGCAAGCAAACTCAAATTTGAGAGTCACACGTCAATAACATGATTAGGCTCTAGTGTGAACCCGAAAAGACTAGCAAGACTAAAGTGACCCAGGCAGAACTATCTGACAAGTACGGCCCTGGGTTTCCCCAGCTGGCGGGGTGGGGGGTGCAGAGCAGAGGGGAGAACAGGACTCGGATGGACCAGGCGGGGCTCTCAATGTCTCTACTCAGCTCTACAAACAAAGACCAAGGGCCCCATGAGCCTCCCAGGACACGGCTGAGAAGCCCGTGAGGTACCTGGAAGACGATGGCGGGGAGCGTCGTCTGGTAGTACCCGTCCTGGTCGGCCTCAGGCTCCGTCTCCTTGGCCCAGTCTTTCTTATCTGTTTCTAGTGCTTTCCGCAGCCAGGCGATGATGTTGGACTAGAGCAGGTTCAGCATCGTGCAGAAAAGAAGAACAGAACAGGCGCCTCTGAGTCGTGCCAAGTGCCCTCTCTGCGCCGCACAGACCAGACTCCACACAGCGCCAGCATCCTTGCTCCCCAACAAAGAGGGGGCGGAGTGGGGACCTCCTGAGCCACCTCCATGGAGGGCAGCACCCAACCTATCTCTGTGGACTTTCACCAAAAGCCTCATCCAGACAGAGGGAGAACGGACCAGAGCTCCTGGATGCAGGTCCCACTGGCGGCTGAGGCTGCCGGTCAGAAGCACACGGACAAGCAGTGAACAAGTTCTGGCCCCACCAGGCAGCCCCTGCTCAGAAGCAGCAGCTTGACCAGCTCAGGCCCCAGGAGAAGACGGCTCCCCTTCCAGGGACAGCAGTCACTGCCCTGTCTTTGCCATCTGGCACGCAGGCTCCCCTCACTCTGTGATCACCCGTGTCACCAGCCTGCCCCTCAGTCCTGACTGCCACCCTCACCTGGACGCAGAGCCTAGCAGGCGCCACCCCACGTGGCCTGGGCCCGAAGATGGATCCCTCCTCCAGAGCCAAGTCCAGAGCAAAGGGCTGCTCCCCGCCTCTCATTGCAAATGCACGTCCCTCACCCTGCCTCCTTCTGCCCGCTGCTCAAAGCCCAGCCGACAGGTGCCAGCACAGTGGTTTCTAGGTGCGCAGGCCAGGCACTACTCACAGTGAGCGTGGACATGTACGTGTCGAGCAGCTCAGAGACCACGTGTGGGGAGAGCAGAGGCTCCAGGGTGCCAACATCCACTTCTGGGGCCAGTTCCACGTTCCCCATCATCTCCACACTATGAGGAAACCGAGAATAAGAACAACAGGCCCTGAGGGAGCCAGGAAGAATGTCCTCCAGTGAGTCTAAGTGCTGCTGTTTCTTCCCACGTGCAAACACCTACCATCCCGGAGGCCTCGGTATCCAGCCTTCCCACCACTCGGACACTTGGAAAAGGCAGCATGCCAGCAAGGAGCCCAGGGTGTTGGGCCCGTGATGGCCCCTTGCTGGCCATGCAGCCACTCGCCTCAAGCCCGGCCTCATCCCACTGTGCCGGCTTCACAGGGCCCCAGGGCCCAAATGCAGGAGAGAACTCCCAGGGTCTGGCAAACAGGAAGTGCTGCATGGACATGTTTAATTAATAGTCATGAGCCAGTGCAGCCAGCCCACTGCCTCTGGGGGTCCTCATCCAAATCAACCAAGCACAGATGGAAAACTTTTGGGAAAAATCAATAAAAATACAATAAAATGGAATACAAATTTAAAAACAATATAGTCTAACTACGTCCACCTGGCTAACACTGCAGTGGGCATTACGAGTGTCCCCGAGAGAATTTAAAGCACACGGGAGATGTGCATGGGGTTATGTGAAAATACTGCGCCATCTAGTGTCAGGGACTTGAGCCTCAGAGGACTCTGGTACCCAAGGGGGGCCTGGACCCAAATCCTTTCAATACTGAGGGACGACTGCACTGTGACTTGGAAAACAGAGCCACCGCAGTCACGACTCTGATCTCTGGATGATGACGACCAACACACAGAACACGTGACGTTCCTGATGGAAACGTCCGCGGAACCAGCAAAGCCGTGTTCAGCCTTCCGTGCAGACAGCAGGGAGCACACACCGCAGGTCAGAAAAAAGCTTTCGTAAGAAACAGTTAATATTTGTGGTTCGGTTCTTAAACATCAAAGGTTTGATCACTTAAGAAAATTCATGTCTTCTGCTGCTTTCCCTAAAGACGTACTAATATCTAGACCACCACCCAATAGTGTCACTAACAGCCAGTCCACCACCTGTAAGAAATCCAACACCTTCCTGAGTGCAGATGTGCTCTGTGAGACTCTGCAGGTGCACAAGGACTGCCTACCCAACCCAGATTCTTCCTGTCCCAAGAAGCCGACTCGGGGAGCAGACGTTTCCGTGGGGGGGGGGGGTGCCCGCCTGAGCGTCTGGCACAGCAGCGCGTCCTGGGCTGACGGGAAGAAGCTCGGAGTCAAGGCACAGACACCGCACGCCGCACAAACCCGTGGCCCATCTGGCGGCTGGAGCCCAGGCCAGCCTGGGACCTGGATTTGAACCCTGCCCACACTTGCAGGCCACAGCACCTGGCTACTCCTGTGTGCCTCGGTTTTCCCACCCTTAAGGAAGATCGGAGAAGATGATCACAAGACCTCCCACCTCCTAGGACGGTCACTGCGTGTCAGGCACAGCAAATGCCGAGCACAGATGATCACGACATCGCTGCCCCGCAGCTGTCTGGGGGCACAGTAAAGCCACAAGATCGTCACCTCTGGGTGACACTTCCTTTCTCTTCACATCCTCCTGTCCTCAAGTGCACAAACTCTCGACTGTAAGCAACCACCGGTAAACAACCAAACCTCACTGCTAAAAAAAGGAGGTTTCCTTAATTTCTCCACAGTAGTGACTTAATGGTGAAAAAGGAGAAAAATCCCAATACATTACTTAATACTGTTTTCTATCCACAAAACCATGCAAAATTAAAATAAATTACCACTTCAGCCACCTAACCTTAAAGAATTTCAGAATAACTCCACCACTGGCTCATTTTTTAAATGCTAACTCAATCAATTCATGCATGAAGTGGCTTGAGCTCCTTCACATGAAGTGACAAAGTCTCACGCTAAAATGCAAAAAGGATAATTGATTTTTCTAGGACCCTCTATGCTATAACTTTATTTTTGAAAGATTAACTGCTACAGTTTATTGGTGAAAAGAAACAAAACTTGGTGCTGCTAGAAGTTGGTAAGATGATGTTGGTGGTTTGTCCCCAGCAGGTGACTGTGCAGGTCACGGCCCCTCCGGGGACCACCTGTCCTCACCTGTAAGATGGGGCGAGAACACACCGGCCTCCTGGTGTCCGTGGGGAGACACGAGCCAGCCACAGCACGAACAGAAAACAGGCCCGGCACCGAGCTGCTCACCTTGACAGCGCCCAGACACGACGGCGCCCCACCCCGTGGGCTGGGCCCTGACTCAGTGCCCGGGTGCAGGGCACCTGCCCAGAGCTAAACACCATGCTGGACTATTTGGCAACTGTCTGTGGCAGGTTTTACACACAGGTTTCTACGTAAAAGGGAATGGAAGACGTAAACCCAGCTGTACCTCGTGTAAGTGTTCAGCACCCAGGTCAGGAGGCTCACGATCTCGTTGGCTTCCAGGTCCTCTGACGCAAGCTCCTGCATCCGCGTGCTCAGGGCTTGGTGGTACATGTTCAGGAGGTTTTTGAAAATCTCATAATGGGGCGGAAAACACTGAACCATCAGGTTTTTGGCAACGATGAGGTCATCCAGGACGTACTTCCGTATGATTTCCAGGTGGCGGACGAGCCACATCTTGTCCGACTCCCGGGTGTCTGCCTGTGTGCCCTCAATTCTCGTGGTCACGGTTCTCTCCAGGATGGCAAACATTTTCTCTTTCCAATTTTTGGGCCTCCCGGGAGGAACAAAACTGGTTTGCTTTTTTCTGTCAAGTATACGCCTGTCAATCTTTTCTTCCCTTTCAATGATCCTGACAACTGAGACCAGCAGGGTGGGGTCGCGGCGGACGGTGACCAGCGACCTCTGCAGCACCATCCACAGCTGCTTGGCCAGCTCGTCGGAGAGCCCCTGCGTGCTGCCGAAGTAGCTGTGGATGAGGGTCATGTCACGCGTGTTCCCGCTGTCCATGCGGTACTGCTCGTACATCAGCCCGTCCCGGGAGCACTCCAGGTCCATGAGCTTCCGGTGGGCTTGCAGGAGCGCCCCCTGCTCGATCAGGTCCTGCGTCTCCCTCACGATCTCGGGCACTAGGAGGGAGGTACAAGAGGGTACCATTAGAAAACAACACGTGAAAGGTCAGGTGTAGGATGGGGGGGGTAGCAGAGCAGGGAGCACCAGGGCACCGTCTCCCCACCTGGACGACAGCCCATCTGTCTGGTGTGACTATTTTGGAACTGTGGAGTCTATGGACAGCTATGACTGATAAATTGTGGTCAATTCTGGCCAATTTCAGCTCGCAACACAACAGCAGCAACCCACCCCCACCCTGCCCAGCCAGGCAGCTCTGCGGGTGCTCCACAGCAGCTGGCACAGCTCGGAGGAGCTGGCTGGTAAAAGCACCCTGTCCCCCCACACACACGGGATCTGTGCTCTGCTCACAGAGGCACCGATAGGTGGATGACCACTGCTGCATCTGCCCACACTGCCACAGGCCGTCCCTGCCTGGAATGACTTCCTCACCACCTCAACATATTCTTTGTCCCCTTTGAAAGCCAGGTGTTTAAGAATGGAGACATTCAATGGCAACTGCACATACAGAGGAAATTGAACATGCACAACCAAGCAAGGCACAGGCTCAGAGACCTGAGACGACCTTACATTCCCACCTTAGTCTGATCCCAGCACAGAGTCTACAACCCAAAAACAAAAATCAGCTCAACCAGGTAGGGAGAGAATTTGATTTCCAGAGTTACCACACTATTAGATTCAAATGTCCACACACAGAGAGAAGGATGGTCCATTCAAAGGAAACAAACCCTGAAAAATATCTGACAGCAGATCTACTAGACAAAGACTTTAAAACAACTGTTTAAAGATGCTCAAAGAACTAAAAGAAGATGTGAAGAAAGTAAACAATTCATGGAAAAAAGTAGAAATATCAATAGACAGAAAACCTAAAAATAAATCATAATGAAAATCTGGAGCAGATCAGCACAATAACTGAAATGAAACATTCTCCAAGGGATTCAAAGGCAGATCTGAGCCAGCAGAAGAAGAATTAGCACCTGTGAAGATAAGACAACCAAAATGATCAAGTACAAGGAACAGAAAGAGGAAAGAATGAAGAAAAGTGAACAGAGACCAACATCTGTATCATGGGATTTCTTGAAGGAGAAGAGAAATAGTCAGAGGGATTATTTGAATTAATAATGGCTGAAAACTTCCCCAATTGATGAAAGACATAAATACAAACATCCAAAAAGCTCGATGACCTACAAGCAGGACAAACTCAAAGAGACCCACACCAAGACACAAAATAATCAAACTTTTGAAGGAATTTTAAAAGCAGTAGCAGAGAAGCCACTTGTAACAAACAAGGGATCCTAAATAAGATTATCAGCGGATTTCTCAGAAGAAACTTTGGAGGACAGAGGCAGTGAGCTGATATAGTCATAATGCTAAAAGAAAAAAACTGCCACCTAAGAATCTTGTATTTAGCAAAATTGTCATGAGGAATATTAAGATGTTCCTAGACAAAAGGTGAGAGAACTCATTCCCACTAGACCCGCCCTACAAGAAATGCTCACAGGAGCCCTGCCGGTTGGCCTGGAAGGACGCCAGAGAGTGACTCAGTCACAGAAGAAATAAAGTTCTCAATAAAAGTAAATACACAGGCAATTATGAAACATGCTGTTACTGTAACTTTAGTTTTTAACTCATCTCTTTGTTTTCTATGTGATTTAAGACACTAACACATTTTTAAAATTAATCTTAAAACAAATAACACTGCAACTTTGGATTCTAACTCCATATTTTGTCCTCCACGTAATTTAAGAAACTAATGCATTAAAAAATTATTAGTCTATGTTTTTGGACATACAATGTATAAAGATGTAATTTCGTGAAATCAACCACCAAAAGGGAGTAAGAATGGAGCCACACAGGGACAGAGTTTTTGTATGTTATTGAAATTAAACTGATATACATTCAAAATGAACTAATATAACAGGATGTTAAATGTAATCTCTATGGTAATCACAAAGAAAATAGCTATAGTATATACATAAAAGAAACAAGAAGGGAATTAAAATATTTCACTACAAAAGAAATGAAAACCATAAAAGAATATAACACGGAAATGAGGGGCAAAAGCATTACGTGGCACACAGAAAACAAACAGCAAAATGACAAAAGTCTCTCCTTATCAGTAACTACTTTAATGTAAGCAGATTAAACTCTCAAATCAAAAGCAGATTAGAATGGATTAATTTAAAAAACATGATTCAACTATATGTGATACAAGAGACTGACCTTAGAACCAAAGACACAGATTGAAAGTGAAAGGATGGAAAAAGGTATTCCACATAAATAGTAATCAAAAGAGACCAGGGGTGTCTATACGAATATATACAAAGTGGACTTTAAATAAAAAAAAACTAACAAGAGACAAAGAAGGCTATAATATATTATATCATTAAAGATGAAACATTTGATTTTGAATCAAAAGTTTAGTTTGTTGTATCTCAAACCAGAAGCAGTGCAATTAATCAAAGTATGTGCCTAAACTACCCACGCGGTTTTGCCATCGTAATAGTAGCTTGTTTACGCCAGCAGCTAAGAAGGCTGGAGAGCGAATAGAGATGAAATCATGAAAGGCGTTTTCCACAGCTTGTTGAGAATTGAATATTCTTCCTTGCAAGAAGTGGTCCAAAGCCTGGAAGAAGTGGCAGTCAGTTGGTGCAAGGTCTAGTGAACACAGTGGATGAAAGAGAGTTTCCAAGTCCAGCCTCTACAGTTTGAGTAGCATTGTTTGTGTGACACGTGGTCTTGCAAGAGGACTGGCCTGTCTCTGTGGACCAATCTTGGCTGTTTAATCACAAGCATCCTCCTCATTTCATCCAATCGGTTGCATAGACACCCGCTGTAATCAACTGACCAGGTTTCATGAAGGTGTAATGGAAAATACCAGCCCTGGACCACCAGACACCATTAGCTTTTTTGATGAATATTTGGTTTTGGACTGTGTTTTGGCACTTCTTTCCCCCCCCTACTACTTGGCACTTCATCTTTATCCAACCCTTGTGCTGAACGCTTGCAATTGCCAAAAAGAATCCATTTTTCATCACATAGGGTGTAGAAATGGTTCACCTTTACATTGTGACAGCAAAGAAGGCCAAGCTTCAAGATGATTTCTCTTCTGACACTTGTTTAATTCATGCGGTACCCATCTATCCAGTTTCTTTACCTTGCCCATTTGTTTTAATTGGACCACTGTGTTGGAATAGTAACATTAAATCTTGCTGCTAATTCACAAGTAGGTTGAGATGGACTCGCTTCCACTACAGCTTTCAGCTCATCATTGGTCTCAGGTCACCCACACGGCTCATTTTCAAGATTAAAATCACCAGAATAGATCTCAAACCATCAATGTACTATGAGGTCATTAGCCACATCCTTCCGAAACATTTTGTTGATATTTTGAGCTGTCTGCACTGCATTGGTTCCAAGAAGAAACTCACATTTGAAAATAACATGAATTTTTTACTTATCTATGGTTTCACAAAAACTGCTCTAAATTTTTTTTTGATCAAGGAGGGGATGGGTATATGCACACCTAATGGGTGTGGTGCAAATCATCTGGGGGATGGACAAGCTTGAAGCTCTGACTCGGGTGGGGCAAAGGCAGTATATATAACCTAAATATTTGTACGCCCGTAATATGCTGAAATTTAAAAAAAGATTTTAAAAAAAAGAAAAATAAATAATTTTCTGAAAGATAACAAGTCAAAACATGCATTTGAAAGAATGAAGGATATACCTTCACAATTAAAAAAAAAACAAGAAATGTCAAAGTGAAATGTCAGCGATATCAACTATCAAGCTTAGCAATTAAGGAAATCGGACACTCCATACTTAATAACCTAACATTAACAGACAGTTCAATCCAGCAAGCAGATGTAAAAGTATAAACATTTCTGCACTTACCCACAAACAGACCATCAAAATATATGAATAAAAATTTATAGAAAAAAACATAAAGTTCTATAATAATTGTTGGAGACTTCAATATCTTCCTCTCAATAAGGGATAGAACAAGCACACAGAAGATAAGTAAGGAAATACAGGACTTAACAATTAACCAACTAGGTCTAACAGACATATAAAGAACAATACCTAGCAACAATGGAATATACATTATCCTCAAGTGCACACCACATTCTCCAAGACAAACAATAGATCATGCCACAAATTAAATCTCAGATTTTTGAAAGCTAGATATCATACAAAGTATCTTCTCCAAATACAACAGATGAAGTCAGAAATCAATATCAGAAGGAAAACTGGAAAATTCACAAATGTGGAAAATAAACAACACACTCTTAACAATCAATTGGGCAAGGAAGAACTCATAAGGGAAATTTTTAAAAACTTAGAGAAAAATGAAAATGAAAACACAACACACTAAAATGCATGGGATGCAGCAAAAGCAAGCTATAGGGTAAACATGTAGCTAAAAATGCTTCCATTAAAAAAGAGAAAGACCTCAGCCCGGGCATGGTAACTCACGCCTGTAATCCTAGCACTCTGGGAGGCCGAGGCGAGCGGATTGCTCAAGGTCAGGAGTTCAAAACCAGCCTGAGCAAGAGCGAGACCCCATCTCTACTATGAATAGAAAGAAATTAATTGGCCAACTAATACATATAGAAAAAAATTAGCCAGGCATAGTGGCGCATGCCTGTAGTCCCAGCTACTCAGGAGGCTGAGGCAGTAGGATTGCTTGAGCCCAGGAGTTTGAGGTTGCTGTGAGCTAGGTTGACACCACAGCACTCTTGCCCAGGCAACAGAGACTCTGTCTCCAAAAAAAAAGAGAAAGACCTCAAATCAACGACCTAACAAGGAGATTTTTTTTTTTTTTTTTTGAGACAGAGTCTCACTTTGTTGCCCAGGCTAGAGTGAGTGCCGTGGCGTCAGCCTAGCTCACAGCAACCTCAAACTCCTGGGCTCGAGTGATCCTTCTGCCTCAGCCTCCCGGGTAGCTGGGACTACAGGCATGCGCCACCATGCCCGGCTAATTTTTTATATATATATCAGTTGGCCAATTAATTTCTTTCTATTTATAGTAGAGACGGGGTCTCGCTCTTGCTCAGGCTAGTTTTGAACTCCTGACCTTGAGCAATCCGCCCGCCTCGGCCTCCCAAGAGCTAGGATTACAGGCGTGAGCCACAGCGCCCGGCCCTAACAAGGAGATTTTAAAAAAGAACAAATACCCAAAGCTAGAAGGAAGAAAATAATAAAGATTAGAGCAGAGATAAACAGAGAATACAAAAACCCTAGAGAAAATCAAAACAAACAGAAAAGTTGGTTCTTTGAAAAGATCAACAAAACTGACAAACCTTTATCTTAGATGGACTAAGAAAAAGAAGATTCAAATAAAATCACAAATGCAAGTGGGGACAATACTATCCTACAGAAATAAAAAGGATTACAGGAGAGCACTATAAAAATTATGTATTAACAAATTAGATAACCTATATGAAATGGAACAAATTCCTAGAAAAACAAAACCTATCCACAAAGAAACAGAAAATCTGAACAGACCTATGGTGTGGAGACTGAGTCAGCATCCAAACTCTCCCAATATGAAAAACCCAGGACTCAACAGCTTCACTAGTGAATTCCCAAACATTCAGGAAAGAACGAATACCAACTCTTCTAACGCTTTTCCAAACCATGAAGAGGAAGGAACATATCCTCACTCATGCTGCGAGGTCAGCGTTCTCCCACTGCCAAAGCCGAAGACGCCACAGAAAGGAAAGCTACAGACCCGTGTCCCTGATGAACATGGATGTGACAGTCGCCAACAAAACACCAGCAAACGGAATTCAGCAGCATAGTAAAAGTTTGACACGTCATCACCAAGTGAGGTTTGGTCAACAAATGAAAATCAATCAATGTACTGCAGCACATCAACCGAAGGAAGGACAAAAATCATATCAAAATCTCAAGTGGTAGAGAAAAAGACTTTGACAAAATCTAACACCCTTTCCTGACAGATAAAAACACTCAACAAACTAGGAATAGAAAAACTACCTCAAAATAATAGGCAGGGTTGGGCACTGTGGCTCACGCCTGTAATCCTAGCACTCTGGGAGGTTGAGGGGCATGGATCGCTCAAGGTCAGGAGTTCGAAACCAGCCTGAGCAAGAGTGAGACCCTGTCTCTACTAAAAAATAGAAAGAAATAATTGGCCAACTAAAAATACATAGAAAAAATTAGCCGGGTATGGTGGCGCATGCCTGTAGTTCCAGCTACTCGGGAGGCTGAGGCAGAAGGATCGCTTGAGCCCGGAAGTTTCAGGTTGTTGTGAGCTAGGCTGACACCACGCCACTCTAGCCTGGGCAACAGAGTGAAACTCTGTCTCAACAACAAGAAAAAAAAAAAAAAAAAAAAAAAGGAAAAAAAAGAAAATCTACTCCTAGCAAAAACCATAGATGTAACTCAGAATCCTCTGTCCATCAAGGGAAGAAAATCATTTTCAACCACTATGGAAAATATGTTAATTCCAGTTATGTGACATTTTGGTCATCAGTCATCAGTTTTACAAGACTGAAAGGAAATGTAATGAGTCCACAGGAGAGAAATCAACCAGAGAGACGCCAGCTGAGTGTCGGAGGAGACCAGGGTGTGGCAACTTTGTTCTGACTCTAGGCAGCCAACAGTCACCAGAAAGAGCTACTTCCTGAGCAGCCATGGAGACGGCAGTACTGTGCCAGCTGTGGTGGCCCTGCACGTGGTCCTGCGTGCCACGCCCGTGGAAGACAGGCACGCACAAAGCAACAGCAGCTTGAGATGCTCGACAACGCAGCGGCTGAAGCATAAAAGGGGTCCAGGAGAGTGTGGGGTGCACAGGACACAGGTCACCAAGGTGCACTGCGTGGAAGCAAGACCACCCACCCCAAATTACACGTGGCCTCATGAGCCAAGCAGGGTTTGGCTTCAGGGTTACAGACAATTCGGCCATGGCCAGTGTAGGTGAGTCCCAGGGCTCAGGGGCACGTGGTGACTGCTGACATGGCATGCTGGGGAGGGAGACATGCAACGGAGATGTTACAACGAGATGGAAAGAACCTGCCAAGAGACCAGAGACCAGGACACAGACAAAGAAGGCGTCAGACTATGCCAAGGTGCTTTTTGGGAGCTTGAAGGGTGGTGGTGACCCTGCCAGAGAGAGGGCCCAAGGGGAGAGATGGGCTGGGGGAGGCAGAAGAGGAGTGTGAGGCATGTGAGCACCACGCCAGCTGCCCCGTTCACAGGGCCACTGCTCCCAAAGACCCCAGCTCCTTCAGGCTCCTGTACACACAGCCTCACGCCACGCAGGACGGGGCTCCCCCGCGCTTAGAACTGCAAGACTCTGCAAGTGTGCCTTACCTGCTAACTCATCACTGCCACCCAGGTCAAAAGACACTGAGCAGGCAGAAATCAGACCCACTGTCCAGGGGGGGAGAGGACCACAGATGTGGAAACTGCCTGTCTCCTGCTCACAGGCTCTAGTGGATCAAGGAAAACCAGTGTGAGCCACGAGCATGAGCGCCGTGAGGCCGTCAGCGCAGGTTTCGCGGCTGCCACGCTAATAACTGCCGTACCTGAGAAGATGTTCTTGAGGTTCTCCACGGCAGCGGCCAGCTGGCTGTGCTGCACCACAGCGTCCTTCACGTCCCGCAGGCTCTCAATGGTGTTGATGCTGCGCCTCCAGTCCTTGCTGACATCGGCCAGCGAGCGCTGGATGTCCCCGACGTCCTTCAGGGCGTTGTGGAGCTGGCTGAGGCCCGTGCGCACGCCGTCCAGCTGCGACTGGATCGCGGCCTGAGGGGACATGCAGAGGTGAGCAGAGGCGCTCTGCTTCCTGAAGAACAGATCTTCCCCAGGAGGCCGAGTCAGAAAACAGCCACAGAGTAGCAGGAAAGAGTAAATACTCAGAAAAAACAAAATAAAATTAACAAGGATTTGACTGATTCATAAGAGAACTTTTCCTTGTTTTCTTCACTGCTGCCTGGGAACAGAATAATTATGCATTTCATTGCTTTGCTGAGGAAACTTCATAACACTCCTCGTCTAGTCCCATACCTAGAGGTAGTGGACGTCACTGCAGGCGTGCCTGGGGTCCACGGCCACTCTGAGATGGTGCCTTTAGGATACCACCCACGTCCTCCTTGGGTAGCACTCAGTTTCCAAGGGGGCCTTATCTAGGCAGAGAAAACCCTCAGGACTTTTTCCTCAACTTGAGGGGTTGGTTTGCATCTGCTTAGCCAGAACCGGACCCAGCTCAGGGGCAGCTGGCCCCGCCGCACAGAGCTGGGACCTCTGAGACACAGACTCACTCTGGGCCAGCCAGATGCCACCCAGCGAGCTGCATGGTCAGAGGCAAGAGGCATGAAGGACGGCAGCAGATGGATGGGACAGCGAGTCAAAGACCGGCAGCACAGTGGATGCCAGCAGCACTGTCCACCAGGGTCCAAGTGCATTTAAAAATAGTTAACTATCATCATAACAGACCACTCAAGGTTCTAACTCACGACTGATCACTCTTAATCTCACAAGTTTTTAGAAAGATAAAACCAAAAATTCAGGCTAAAAGTGTAGCAGGTCCAAACTGTTTGATTAACATGAACCTACTGTCTCAAAGTAGTACAAATGCACCTTTGGATGCCTCGTCAGTACAATTGAATGACCCCCCCACCTTCCACCCCATCAAGCCTGCTGTCACCTGCCTGCTGCCACTGCTTTTAAGTGGAGAGGTGACCTTGTCACCCTATCAGTGATCATGAACTTTCCCCAGAGGCATTCTCTTAATTCCCAAAGCCATTCTGCTACATGTCAACTTTAGCAAGTCGTGCCTTTAACATTTTAGAGTTACACTGAGTATGTATATTTCAGTAAAAACTCACCACTTTATGTCAGTAAGTTGAAAGCCAATCCAAATTATAAAATACCCCGAGAAAGAGTGATTTTCTTCCCTGTCTCCCTCACACACACGCTCAATAAACATGTCTACCTTTCCCCTCCTTCCTGTTCCAGGAGACCATAATGCCCAGCACATGGTCAGCCCAGGACAGCATATGTTAAACTGAGCTAAACAAAATGTTCTCTAGTGGTGTTCTGTTCAACAGCTTTAAGTAAAGTAAGAGTACTTATTATTCTTCTAGTATTGTCAAAAGAGTAAAATGAGGCTGGCATGGCGGCTCATGCCTATAATCCCAGCACTCTGGGAGGCTGAGGTGGGTGGATTGCTTGAGACCAGGAGTTCAAGCTCAGCCTCGGCAACCCAGGGAGACCCTATCTCTACAAAAGTATTTTTCTTTTGTAGAAACGTGGTGTACTGCCTGTAGTCACAGCTACTTGGAAATGTGAGGCAGGAGGATCACTTCAAACTCAGGAGTTCGAGGCTTCAATGAGCTATTATGCCACTGTACTCCATCCTGGGTGAAAGAACGAGACCCTGCCTCTAAAAATAACATAATATAACATAACATAAGTTAAATGGACGTTTCCAGGTTGCTTAAAAAGATTATTCCCTTGCTGTTTTCAGTAATTCCACAGTCGTCTTTGTAAATCTGTTGACTGGTGATATATTGTTGAAAGGGCTGCTAAGTAAAGTTCAGCTCAGCTTCCTCCCACATCATCACAAAATCTAACTTAGCAAAATCATCATGACAACATCAGGCAGGAACCCAAAATGCAAGATAAATGGCTCTGTCCTGCCCAGGAAGTGAAGAAGTGACCTCTCCGGTCTCCTACCTTCAATCTGGCCTCCACAGAGGCCTTCTTCCGTGCCTCTCTTCTACGATACTGCTCCACTTTGTCCAGCTGGTCCGGGCGCTGAAGCATCCCAGCAACCCTCTGGACGGCTGTCGCAACAGCCTCACGGTCTGTCTCCTTCATGGTCAAAACGCAGGTGGAATCTCCGTGCCTGTCATGCTAGAGATAGTCTGTGTGCACAGGAGGGAGAGGGCTTTACGGAGGTGGAAATGTTAGGTACAAACAACCCCCCTAAGAGTCAGTTGATCATAACGGAGCTATGAGAGTGTTTGAGAACATCGTTAATCCAGTCCACCTGAAAGAAAGCTGAACTAGGATTAAGAACTCAAGAGAATATGCAAACCTTCGGAACTCAAATATGGAGAGGCTGTAGCTTTAAGAGGACAAGAAGGGGCATTTCCCAGGCCTGAGAGATATGAACACATGGAGGACACCCCAGACCCACCTCAGAGTCACTCTCTAGGGCACTTCCTTCCCCTAGACAGTGCCACCTTCTCACCCTGGAGCCTTCCCTCAATCCCTGGCCATGCCTGTGCGCAGCCACTAGCACCCTCAGTGAGGACAGGACACAGCACAGCACCTGTCTCACCTCTCCCAGCACCAGTCCTATGATTCCCAGCAAAAATCACTACTGCCTTGTGTATACAAAATTCCATTTCATACTTTTTTAACAGCCCTAGAAAACAGAGTGTATGTCCTCCTTTTCTCATGTATGCTCGGACACCAGGCAGCGTGCCTTCACTCCTAGCACCACCATCACCCCAGCGTGGGCTGAAGCGGCTACCTGGTGAACACCTGGCAAACGAGGGCAGTGGAAAAACATGCATTCCCTTTGACTTTATGCAATTTCTGTTTTCAAGGATACAAGAAAGACCCCTCTTCTCCCAGAATTTTTCATTTATCCCCATTCCCACAGGCTTTCTGAAAAACACTGAAAACCTGTGGTGGATTTCTGCAAAATAATTTCTGTCTATGCAAGATCTCTCCTTCCACTTCTCTTTCAAATAGAACTGTTTTGCAACCACTACCTTTCTCCTTTTTTCTATGAGTACAAAAGTATGTATACCGATGTAGACTATCTGGACAGGACAGAAAAATACAAAGATGCCAGAGGCAACCACCTTTAATCCCACCCTCCAAGGGCAACCACTTCTGACAGGGCCGTTTCCTCCCAGTTTTTTTCTTTGCATATCTTTTCAAGTTGAGACCCCACTGCTGCATGTGTGGTACTTGCATGCGTTCATTTCTTGTTTTGCTCTGACATGTAATCCTCAGCATTTCCACTGACACTGAAACCTGTACTTTGATTAAAAGGCTGGACCATAACCAAGAAGTGGACATCTAAGCATTCTGCTAGTGCACCCAGCAAGATCATCTGACCCTCCCCAAGGCTGGAGTTAAGTGTCAGGCTCTCAGACCAGCCTTTCTGGGTGGAAATGGAACAAAGCCAGATGCTAATAGAATCTTCTATGGCCGACAACTCTCCTTGGAACCAGAACAGAGGAATCTACTCCAATGAGGGGAAAAGGAAAAATCTGAAGGAATGGAAAACACAGGGAAGCGAGGTTTCCATCACAGCCTGATGACTGTCAGATCTCCGGCCACAGGAGCAAAAGGGGAACTCTGAGGCCATCAACAGACCCAGGTCTAACCCCTTCCGGGCCTTTTCTGACTTTTCGCCCGGCGCTGGCTCAGCAGTGTGCGCCTCTCCACCGAGGGACAACCGGCATAGGTGGGAGGGGCACGGGGGGGAACGGGCACGGAGAAAAGGGGGCACAGGGGAAAGGACATGGGTACCGGGGAATGGACACGGGCACAGAGAAGACGGGGCACGGGGACACTGTGTGGCACGAGGGGGAGGGGACTCGGGCGCGGGAGGCGGCACCGCACAGGGTTCCGAACGGCCTGGCGGCCCCCACGCCCGCAGGCCCTGCCCTGCCCCGGCGCCGCCCTGGGCCACGGGACACCGGAGGGAGACAGAGAGAAAGAAAGAGACAGAGAGACAGAGAGAGAGACCGAGGGCGGCGACCACCGCCCGGGGAGCGCCGTCGCCTCCTCACCGTCTGCCCTGCTGCTGCCTCTGGGGGCCCGGCCGGAAGTGGGCGTCGCGCGGACACTTCCTCTTCCGGAGACCAGACCGGAAGGGCGGGGCCTGGGCATACCGAGCGGGAGGTTCCTGCCCACTGGAGCCCTGTGACCCCCTCGGTTTGGCGTAGAAGGATTCCCTCCCTACAGTGGCTCTGTGACCCCCTCAGGTTGGGGGGTTCCCGGCCCACTCGGGCCCTGTGACCCACCTCGGGTGGGGCGGGGTCCACTGGGGCCCAGTGACCGCAGGGCGGGTGTGGGCTGGGGGTCCCTGCCCACCGGACCCTGTGACGCCCTGGAAGTCCTTGCCCACTGGGGCCTAGTGACCCTCGGGCGGGTGTGGGCTGGGGGTCCCTGCCCACCGGACCCTGTGACGCCCTGGAGGGGGCGGGCTGGGAGTCCTTGCCCACTGGGGCCCAGTGACCCTCGGGCGGGGACGGGGAATGAGTCCCTGCCCAGTGACCCCCCCCCGCGGGGCCGGGGAGGGGGGGTCCCCGCACACTGGGGCCCAGTGACCCTCGGGCGGGGACGGGGAATGAGTCCCTGCCCAGTGACCCCCCCCGCGGAGCCGGGGAGGGGGGGGTCCCTGCACACTGGGGCCCAGTGACCCACTCCCTGGCGGTGGCTGGGAGGGGGGGTCCCTGCACACTGGGGCCCAGTGACCCACTCCCTGGCGGTGGCGGGGAGGGGAGTCCCTGCACACTGTGGCCCAGTGACCCACTCCCTGGCGGTGGCGGGGAGGGGGGTCCCTGCACACTGTGGCCCAGTGACCCACTCCCTGGCGGTGGCAGGGAGGGGGGGTCCCTGCACACTGTGGCCCAGTGACCCACTCCCTGGCGGTGGCAGGGAGGGGGGGTCCCTGCACACTGGGGCCCAGTGACCCACTCCCTGGCGGTGGCGGGGAGGGGAGTCCCTGCACACTGTGGCCCAGTGACCCACTCCCTGGCGGTGGCGGGGAGGGGGGTCCCTGCACACTGGGGCCCAGTGACCCACTCCCTGGCGGTGGCGGGGAGGGGGGGTCCCTGCACACTGGGGCCCAGTGACCCACTCCCTGGCGGTGGCGGGGAGGGGGGTCCCTGCACACTGGGGCCCAGTGACCCCCCCTGGCGGTGGTGGGGAGGGGGGTCCCTGCACACTGGGGCCCAGTGACCCCCCCCTGGCGGTGGCGGGGAGGGGGGTCCCTGCATACTGGGGCCCAGTGACCCCCCCTGGCGGTGGCAGGGGGGGGGTCCCTGCACACTGGGGCCCAGTGACCCACTCCCTGGTGGTGGCAGGGAGGGGGGGTCCCTGCACACTGGGGCCCAGTGACCCACTCCCTGGCAGTGGCGGGGAGGGGGGTCCCTGCACACTGGGGCCCAGTGACCCACCCCCTGGTGGTGGCGGGGAGGGGGTCCCTGCACGCTGGGGCCCAGTGACCCCTGGGCGAGGGTCCCTGCCTCAGGGCTGCTTTCCACAGACAGAAGCACAGCCGGGCGGCCACACAGACCTGGCACACACGGGCGAGGCCGGCGCAGGTGCGGGAGCTGCGCTGCCAACTGCTGCCCCGCAAACCAGCGGAAACCACAGCCTGGGGATCAGCTGGCTGACCCTGACTTTATCATTTTAGCTTTACCTTCTAATATCTGAAAATTAGCAAAAAGTCGAGCAATGAAAAAAATGTAAAGAAAAAGTAAAAACTTAAAAATTACGTTTGAAATTAAAACTGTAGGGACATTTTGAAACTGATGAAGAAAAATTTGCCAAAATTACCAAAGCTTTTAGAACTATTACTTCAAAATGTAGCAACATTTAATATTATGAAAGAGACCTACACTGTCTATGTCTGGTGCTCAATTTGGATGTTAAGACGCCCGGTAACCTCCTGGATCAACCAGGCTGGTTAGGTAGGATGCTGTATTAGAGGAATTTAGTTGTTTTTCTTTACCACTGAAGAAAACAAAACATTGGTTAAAAATATTTCCTGACTTCTGTTTTCAAATAATTGAGAAGCCTCCTATGAAACACCTGGGAATACTGGATGAATGTACAGCACAGGTGTGTTCAAAGCAAGCAAGGAAATGAGCAGGGGCAGAAGCAGAGCGGAGAGAGGACCCCCACAGCAGAGGGCCTCGCTGTCCTGGAGCAGGCAGGGGACGGGGGCTGGGGGAGGCGTCTCAGGGGTTGGGTTTTTACACCTAGGCAGGATGGAGGATGAAGCTAAGGCTCCCGGCAGGTGGGGTATAGACTGAGACTCCGGCGCAAGTCTGGATGCTCAAAGGGGTGCATCCCCAGTGAAAGGGTGGATCTGGAAAAAAGGAAAACTTCTCTGGAGTGCTGAGGATGACCAGGAGGCTTGCCTGGCTCTGTCAGGGCCCTCGGGCTGGGGAAGGCAACCAGAGAACACACAGCTCAGGTGTGCTCTTCACCTGGGTGTAGCCCTTCGTCCTCATCTTTGACAGGAGCAAACTTGAGAGGGAGGGAAGGGAAAAGCACCGAAGCGTCCGAAATCCCAGCCTTGTTCTGGGAGGATAGAAATCCTGATTAGCTCCAGCTCAGGCGTTGCTAATGTGCGCATTAAGGATAGCCACTAAAGAAACAGAAACAGAATTGTAGCTTCCAAAGGAAGAGAGGCAACAGGTGGATCCACAGAGACATGATGGAGGAAGATGAAGCAACGCTTGGTGAGATGAAGCTGTGTGTGTCCCAGCTCCACGTGAGCATCTAGCCCCACACATGCCTCAGCAGGGACCAGGGTGGAAGAGTCACGTGATGGCGTGGAAATGAGGTGGGGGTGGGGTGGTAGGGGAGAGGGGATGGGATGGGCCAAGGTGGGGCCACAGGGGCATGAGCAGCTGGGTTAGCCAAGCAGACGAGGGCTGGCCTGGTCTCCCCTGGGAGGACATGGGAGTCTCAGGGCAGCAACCAGGATGTCACTGGGACAGGTTTGGGGACAGTGTCCTGCAGGTTGTGGAGGAGGCCTGGACAGGGCTGCCCTTACAGCCAGGGGCAGATTCGGGCTCCTTGGGTCACAGGAGGGGACTCTGCCCAGGCGATGACCCCTGCCCCATCTCCATACACCCGTCGTCCACTCGAGGTGCACTCAGCTCTGCCTTCCTAGCCACTTCCAGGACAGACTGGGTCTGGGGTGTCCTGAGAGCACCCAGGCAGGTCCCCAGCCCTCCGTGAGGGGGGCCACCGCAAGGACGTGGCCAGGTGGTAACTCCTCCATGAAACTTTTGGCTCTAGAGAGCTTTTTAAACTTTTATTACTGCCTTCTGTTTAGTGGTGGAGGACTAGCTTAGAATGCAAATTAAGATATGCATTTAAAGGAAAATAAAGTGACTTCATTTGGAAAATCAAGTAGACATTTCCATTCACACTGAACACATTAACATATCATGTATTTTACATCGATATTGTAAATTTCATACAAATGACAGTATAAGAAATATATTTGAGAGCTCTTTGGAAAGGCACTGAGAAACCAGTGGAGTTACATTTATAGTGCATCAGTTTTAAAAATTCAATAAGTTGGTCTAGACATTGAAAACTTTTTTCTAGTAGAAACTGCAAAAATATAATTTGTGTTCATCTTCTCCCTTCGGTCCCATTCCCACATTGTATTTTAACACATTTTCAGCTATACAGGCAAAAGCTACATGCAAAAGAAAAACATAAATCTGTCATTAGTACTAACAGTGACATTTTAGAGCACAAATTACCACATCTGCACCTCCTACATTCCATCATCATCTACCCCACACAATTTTTCAGGAGGGTCACGGTCATAAAACAACAAAAGTGCTGATTTAGGGATTTGTGTTGCCAAGGAGGGGACCTGGGACACCGTGCTGGCCCACCGGCTCAAGGGCCGCAGCCGGGTTGCCCAACATGCCAGACCCGCAGAGTTGATGCCAGACACTGAGCTCAGCTCCACAAAGCACAGCCCGTCGGAGAGCAGGCGGACACTCAGTGGTGCCTGTCACCCCAGGGGGGCGTGGACGGGGCACGTCTGAGGGTCTGGGGGTGAAGGCAGGACGCTGCAGAGTGGCCTTGGGGCAGAGGCCGCTGTCCCTGCTTCCCAGGGCACAGCTCTCCCTTGATGGCACTCAGGGTCCGGGTGCAGCTGGCAGGCACGCGAGGACCTCTCTGGATGCCAACTCCTGGGTCTGGAGTTTTTCCCTGTTACACCCACTGGTTCCAGGACACGCGAGGCATGTTACACACGTGCCTGCATATGGCTGAGACAGGAAGAGCAGGGGCCACTCTCAGGGACGCAGGTGACACTTCAGCTGAGGGAGATGTGGAGGGCCAAGCTCTAGGATGCAGGAATGCCCAGAGCGGCACATGTCGCTCGGTGGTTCTCTTTTTTTTTTTTTTTTTTTTTTGAGACAGAGTCTCACTTTTGTTGCCCGGGCTAGAATGCCATGGGTCAGCTTAGCTCACAGCAACCTCAACCTCCTGGGCTCAAGCTCCTCCTGCCTCAGCCTCCTGAATAGCTGGGACTACAGGCATGTGCCATCATGCCTGGCTAATTTTTATGTGTGTGTGTGTGTGTGTGTGTGTGTGTATTTCCTTGGCCAATTAATTTCTTTATAGTAGAGATGGGGTCTCGCTCTTGCTCAGGCTGGTTTTGAACTCCTGACCTTGAGCAATCCACCCGCCTCGGCCTCCAGAGTGCTAGGACTACAGGTGTGAGCCACCGCGCCTGCCCTGTTCTGTTCTTGCAGGACACTGCGGGTCTGATTATTAACGAAGACCTTCCGTGGTCAGGAGCTGTGCACTGGTTAGAGCAGGATGGAAGGGGGAAGGTTCTGAAATTAGACCCTGTGTCTTAAGGACAAAATCCATAAATGCCCAGAGAGCAAAGGTACACTGTGGCCAGTGCAGGAACCGGTAAAGACGGGACTCTGCACCAGCTTGGGCAAGAGTGGGAAGCCACCTCCCCACAGGTGGCTAGTCCCCAGGTGATCTGCAGGTGGCTGGTCCCCAGGAGGCTGGTCCCTGAGGGTGGCTGGTCCTCAGGAGGCTGGTCTGCAGGTGGTTGGTCCCAGGTGGCTGGTCTGCAGGTGGCTGGTCCCTGAGGGTGGCTGGTCCTCAGAGGGCTGGTCTACAGGTGGTTGATCCCAGGTGGCTGGTGCCCAGGAGGCTGGCCCTCAGGTGACTCTGCTGCCATCATGACTTCAGGCATCAGGCAGAGGAGAGAATGGCAGTGGAAGCAGAAGCCTCGGCAGCTCTCATGCCCGAGAGAGCACAGCACCAAGGTCACCTTTGAAAGGTCTCTGTGGGCTCAGCAGGGATGGAACAACCACTGGGTGCACCTTGGGGGTCACAGGAGGCCACAAATGACCACTCTGGCCCCTGGGCTCAGGTGATCGTCCCTTCTCTTCAGTTGTGGGAGATCCTCTGCCCCATCCTTGCCCAGTGGGTGACTCGTCCCAAGAACAAGGGAGCTGAGGGGCACGGGCACCCTGGGTGTGTCTAAGTGCACAGGTGACCCAGTCCGGCCAGCTGAACCTGAATTTCGACATAGCAAATGTGCATTCAGCAAATGGCTTCAACACTGAACCAGGGGCTGAACACTGGCACCCAAAAGCCATAGGCAATAGAGAAAAAGTCCACGCTGAAGCCAGGATGTACTGGGTGGTAGAGCATTGACTCTCTTGCCCAGTGGGCTCCTACCACTCCTGGGACTCCCAAGTGGAGATGACTTTAGGGGAAGATGCCCTTGTCCCTGAGGAGGAGGGTCTGTGCACCCCAGCACAGGGAGGCCAGCTGCAGCAGGATCCTGGAGTGCATTGCTGCTGTGGCCTCCTCCTGCTCAGCGGTGGCTTTTATACCCTGCTGTTATGCCCTGGTCTACCATGCACTGACCAGGGGCGCCCTCTGGCCTGAACCACACCCAGGAAGCAGCATGACCCACACAGTCAGCTCTACGTTATCTTTGGATGAACTGTGGTGACCTTCATTTTCTGACGTATGCCTTTGTAACCAAATTTCCTATAATTAGAATGTATTACGTTCACAGTATTTATTTTTAAATGCTACCTGTTTTGTCTCTAATAATCCTTCCCAGAATGGTGGCTGGAATCCTCATTTGAATAAACTGCAGAGACAGCAAGTGAGACAGCCTCCACAGACAACTCAATCTCCTACTTCCTCTACGCTTCTGAACTGAGACTAGGTGGACTTCGAGTCACGTGACGTGCAGGAGATGGTTTAGCTGGAGACTTCTTCAGGGCCCACCAAGGACACCAGAGAGAGTTCCAGAAGGAGCGGGCCATTAGCCAATTTCCATTCCAGGTCTGGCTACAGACTCCGCCACGCACTGTGGAGCCCCTGCCTCGTGTGTGGTGAAGTGTGGGACCCAACCCCGACAGTCTCTTCTGCCTGGGACTTCTGGGCTCCTTCCACGGAGGGGCCCATGGTCACCTCTGCTCGGAGGGTCACAGTCCAAGTTCCTGCCACCACCCTCCGAGTTGCTCTCCCCCCAGCTGGGGACCTCGCACAGCGCAGGCCGGGCTGGGGTGGGCTCCAGAGGGCGGAGCAGGAACCTCACCGGAAACTTCTGACTGTGGACACATGGCAACGGCCAGGTGCTCACGGCCCCAGCCAGGCCGATGCAGTCCAGTGTCAGCCACTTTCTTAAAGACTTTGGTTCCTCAGAGAGAGAAATAGTTTGCACGTAAGAACTTCCACATGGTTTACAAATTCAGAATAAACTATCACATGTGCTGCACACATAGAACGAGGACTGCGCATGTGCATCTCTGCTGAGAGTGTTCCTTTGAAAAGGCTCCAACTAGCTGGGCGCGGTGGCGCATGCCTGCAGTTCCAGCTATTTGGGAGGCTGAGGCAGGAGAATCACTGGAGCCCAGGAGTTTGAGGTTTCAGTGAGCTGTGATCACGCCACTGCCCTCATGCCTGGGCAACAAAGTGAGACCTTGTCTCACTGAAAAAACATAAAATAAAATAAAAAGGCACTCAGGTGCCCAAGGCCAGGCACTCCCACCCAGGTGCAGCCCAGGCAGAGAGCAGCTCTGAGAGAGGACGGTGGCTGTTTTCAGCAAAGCTCAGTGCTACGGCAGGAAAGTGCACTCGGGGGCTCTGGGGGGGACTGGGGGCACCAAGGCACTTTTGGGGAACATCCCGGGCACTGCCCCCTGGCTGTGGGCGGCCCATGGGGGCGAGTCCAGGGGCTCGCACTTGACCACGGGGGCGGCCCCAGCAGCTCTGCAGGAGCAGCCCGGCGGCACGGGGGGCTGGTGCACACAGAGGGGGCGGGGAGGGCCCTGCAGGGGCAGGGCATGTGTGTGCCCCCGGCAGCCGCAGTGTGCCGGGCAGAAGGGGACCAGCTCCCCGCTGGGCCTGGCAGGGGCCCGGCAGTGCCCCAGGTGTGGCGTGTACACCTGGTACCTGGACTCCGGCTCTGTTTTCAGGTGCATCCTGGTGGGGAAAGTGGCCAGATGACGTTTGGCCATGTCTCCGGCCCCCAGCCAGGCCTGGCTGGGCGTGTAGCCGTCTGCTGCGTCCTCTGACCCCGAGTCCTTCTCCGTCTTGATGGGCATGCCCAGCGGCAACGCCAGGTCGCACGGGCCGCCCGGGGGCATCTGCAGCCTGGGGGCCTCGGTGGGGTAGCCCCCCTCGGGGAAGCGCTGCGCCCCAGGCTGAGGGGGCCGGTTCTCCAGGCTCCCCGGGGGGTAGAGGCCGGGGAGAGGCTGCTCCTGCCCCCCTTGGACATCCCGCCAGGGCCTGCTCACCCGGCTGGAGCAGGCACCAAGGGGCTGGCCCGGCGACGGGGGGACGGGCGCACTTCTGAACGTGGCCATGCCGCCAGCGCCGACCATGCCCCGCGCACCAGGGTACGGCGGGCAGGAGCCGCGGGGTGCAGGGCGCAGGGAGAACAGGTCGCTCTTGCTGGCGGGCAGCCGAGACCTCAGACCCCCGCCCTCGCCGTGCCTCCCCGCCGCCCAGTCCAGGCGCCTCGTGGGTCCCATCGGCTCACAGCGGCCATGGTGGGTGCGTATCTCCCTCGGCCCCCTCGCTGCAGAGGAGCCACAGGGCCTTGCCTCCTGCCCCTCTTCCCTGTCCCTGCAGAGAAAAGGGGCCCCTTAGACAGCAGCCAGGGCGCTGGGTCCCGCCTCCTGGGGGAGGCCGGCAGGACACCGGCCGGGTCCCCGCCGCCCTGGCCCTCGCAACCCAGGCAGTGGCCCTGGGAGGCCGGTGCCAGCATCTCCGTGTGAGCCCTTCCCTCCTGGGACCCCCGGGGGCCAGGCAGGGCGGGGGAGGCCTGGCTGGGGAGGCAGTGGCGTGCTGCCACCCTCCTTGCAGGGGGGAGGCGCCCCTGCCAGGCCTGTGCCACCGGCACGGCGTCCCCACACCGTTCTCCACCACCGCTGGCAGAGTGGGAACAGCCACGGAGCCGTAAAGCAGAGAACGCCGTCCCCAGCAGCTCCTGCGGCCGGCCTGTGTCGCTGACCAGCACAGCGGCATGCCACGTCAGGACTGGCACCTGCATGGTGACGAGGAAGGGACTGGGAGGCACAGGAGCCTGCGGGCTCAGCTGGGGCGGGCAGGAGGCGGTGGGGAGGGTTGCAGCAGGGGTGAGGGCTGGATGGGGACAAGTGACCCAGGGTCCAGGTGACAGGTGAGTCCCAGGGTCCTGGGATTTGGTGGGGCCCAGGGGGCATCCTCCGCCCTAGTCCCTCCCTGGTGTGAGCTCTCGGGGACACGTGTGACCTCCAGCCTGGGGGCTGCTGGGACGTCTCCGAGGACAGTGAGTGAGTGGTCAGGCCTGTGGCCGGGCCGTACAGGGGCCACCGTCGGTCCCCTCTCTGCTCTAGAGGCCCCCACTTTGGCCGTGCAGGGACTCAGCAGGGGCCGGGCAGGGAGGTAGCCGGCACCACTTACCCTGCGGGCGCCCTGGGGTGCAGGACGAGGCTGGGGGCTCCCCCGAGGCACAGGCAGGGGGTGCTGGCGGGGACACGGGCCCAGCGGCCGGCCTCTGTCTGCGTCCTGAACACCAGCACGCTGTTTTCCCCGTGGCTTCTCCCTGTGGGGTTTGGGCAGCTGTGGCCGAGTGGCTGCTGGACGCAGCCGAGCCGCGCTGGGTGAGAGGTGGCTCAAGTTCCGCAGAGCCGCGCCGGAGTCCAGGCGCGGGCGTCTGTCCCCGCAGGGCGGTCGCTAAGGCTCCAAGGTGGGTTTCCGTGGAACACGCAGGGTTTCCCCGGGGCAGGCAGAGCTCTCCGAGGGGCAAAAACACATCTCCCCTCTCAGGGAAAGCGGAGATAGAGAATCGTAAAAAGTACCTGCGAAGTAGTCGGGTTTTCCGTGCAGTTCTGGTTCACACAGACTCGCAGTGACTTTTACTCTGTGAAAACAGGTAACAGCAGAGAACACGCAGGTGACATGCGTGTCGACGGTAGGAGTTGCCAGTGATAGGAATCACTGTCTGGCCTGAGAGGCGAAGACAGAAACAGTGACTCCATTTGCCTAATTCTTTATAGCTTGTGAAGTCTTTTGTCAGTGACAGATTTGCTGAAAATACTGGATCATGTCAGTGCTCAGGGCAGCGGGGCTAATGAACTGGCTTCGGAAAGTGAGTGTCTGCAGAGAAGGTTCTAGAGCCGTGTTTTCCTCCTGGGAGGCCCGAATGAAAACGCAGCCGGTGGTTGTGGTTTTTGTCCTCATGTTCCGGGAAGCCGCCATGAATACTGGATTGGTGAGCCCAGAGCCACTGCTCCTGGGGAAGTGTGCACAGCCTCGAACCCTAACGACTTGTCCCGCTGGGCTCTATCACCTTTATTTTTTCAAAAGACAAATGTTAAGAAACTTGCTTGGGCCGGGAGCGGTGGCTCACGCCTGTAATTCTAGCATTCTGGGAGGCTGAGGCAGGAGGATTGCTTGAGCCCCGGAGTTGGAGGTTGCTGGGAGCTAGGCTGACACGGCACTCTACCCTGGGCAACAGAGTGAGACTCTGTCTCAAAAAAGAAAAAGAAACTTGCCTGGTGCTTCCCGACAGCAGGAGCCAGAGCTGGGGTTCAAGCCCCCTGCCGGCTGGGCTGCCTGGTCCCGGGCATCCGCGGAGAGCCCCGCGGTGGAGAATGTCCACCATCACCACCTGGACGTGTCCTCGAGTGGGCGCAGGGCCCAGAATGCACCGACCTGGGGCTTACGAGTGAGTTCCCTGAAGCGGGAGCCTGCACAGAGGGCCGGGGCAGATCATGAAGGGCTGTCGCTGGCGGCGCAGGGAGGACCCGCCAGCGCCCGGCTGCACCACGCTGGGCGCGCGTGTTCCGAGAGCTGGCCTCTGAACTCTGAACTCAGCTCAGAGCAGCGTGGTGAGAATTCCAAAACCCCATGGGGTGGGGATCCTCGGCCTAACCAGTTTTCTTCCCCCGTCTGGTTTTAATAATATTCTGTATGCTGTGGCGTCTATTTATTGCTCCACCTTACACACCTTCCTCCTCTAGTCCTCACAGAGCCTCCAGGTCTGGCGTCCTGGCTGCAGGAGGAATGGCAGGTCACCCGGCAACCCCACACCTGGTCCCCACTGGGCAGTGGCAGGAGGCAGCGGCCAGGCCCGCACTTCCCCACGCCGGCACCAGGGGGCGGCGTGGCCACTCGCAAGCCCAGCTGGGAGGATGGCTGTGGCCCGGTAGGGACTGTCCCTTTACTGTGCTTTTGGGGCCAGAAAAACACGCAGAAAAGAGAAAGCTCACTGTGTGCATTTGGGTTATAAAAAATTCAAGCCAAAACAGCTTTAAAAAGCCGGACGACACTGAGACAGTGAGTGACGGTGGCGTATTTCTGCGTGTGTGGTGGCCGGGCAGGTTGCCCTGCCCCAAGCCTGGCAGGGACCGCTGGGCTGGCCACGTCTCTTACTTTCACAGCTTTCCCTTTGGTATTCTGTTTTTCCTCCCCTGTATTTTATATGTTCATCCTTTAAAATAAAAGGTGCATAAATTTAATTTTAAACGTGTGCTGCTGTTGGTAGCACGCGGGCCCGTGTGGGTCCCAGAGCACCCGCCCAGGCTCCGGGGCCGAACCTCCACCGGCCCTCAGGCAGGAGAGACGGGAGCCCAGTAGTGCGGCAGCTCGCACCGCTCCCAGACGGAAGGCCCGGAACGAGGTGCAGAGACGAGCACAGCCACGCAGGGAACCGACACGCAGAACAAAAGCCCAGACTTCCTAATGGTCTAGACGGAGCTTCACGGGTGCCCAAGAAGGAGGGAGACTCCAGCCAGGGCCTGTAGAGACGCCTCCTGGGCACGCCTTGCCCTGGGCTGGCCCTCGCCAGCCCCCGAGAGAGGCCGGGCGCCCGCCGCACGCTGCCCATCTGGAGGCTGCAGGGGCAGGACAGGGGCCCCCCAGCACCTCTGGGGCCCGACAGGCAAGTGGGCTGCGTGGCGGGTCCTGCTGCCGGCGCTGCCCCCACCGCTGCGAGGACTCGGGCTGGACCCGCAGGGGCGCGGTGGGCACACTGCAGACGGCGGCGAGGGACCGGCGCAGCTGGACTCCAGCCACGTCCCCAGGGTGAGTCTGAAAGGACGGGACTCGGCACTGGTGGAAGTTGGGGAGTGGATGAAAACCCGGCCCACAGGCACAGCCCGGACCAGACGTGTCTGGTAGCGCCTGTGACGCAGAGATGGCACGTGAGTGCAGGCAGAGCCGCGGCACAGGGGACAGGGGACAGGGGACAGGGAGGGCCTCGTCAGGCTCACTGCTCTGCTGGGAGCGAGTCCCCGGCGCTGTGCAGGTGCCAAGGACAGTCGTCTGGATGGGGAGTGCCCGCTGAGCCACCTGCAGCCGTCGTCCTGCCAAGTGGGGAAACCACCAACAGAGACTCGGGCCAGACGACAGGGCTCCTCGGGAGAGACCACAGGCTGATGGAGCCACCTGTGGGCCCTGGGTCTGGGCGAGGCACAGAGGGGCGGGGGACGGAGCCACAGAGCGAGGCCCCCCACCCCCGGCGGGGCCCTGCCGCTGGGCACTCAGACCACAGTCCAGTCCCCTCCGCACCTCGCTGGGCAGGAGGCGGCCTCAGGTGTGCGACACCTTGGCTCAGGGTGGGGGAAGCCTAGCACGGAGAAGAGGCCGGCCCTGCAGCCTGGGGCGCCCCCCCACGGCTCCTCTGCCGGCCCAGCCCGAAAGCCACTCCAGCTCGGTGCAAAATCCCCTGGAGAACCTGCCCTGCACCTGGGTTCTCTGTTCCGAGCTGTGTCTGTCTCGGCCCGTGCACCCCCCTGGCCTGTGACCCTGGCCTGTGACCCCCGCCGGGGTCCAGGGAAGGAGCCCCCTCGGCTGTGGCTCGGCTGAGAGAGACGCACAGTCAAGAAACAAAGATGTGGGCTGGGGACTCAGGGGCTTTAAACAAGCTGCCCCGTGAGGGTACCGGGAGGGTCTTGCTCAGCCCAGGGCACAGATGGAAGTCGGATCTCAGAGCCCTCCACCCACCCCACTCCGGTCTCTCTCACAGGAGTCTTTCAGCTGTTGGAAAACGCGGTTTCTAGACGCACAACATTGTAAATCGCTCCCAAGACACTGACGGACACAGCTCAGCCTTCACCCACCCTGAGAAGCTCCCAGGACACTCAGTCCCTCCGATCGATTGGTGGCACAGGGACCAGGACCCGTAGGAGGGCGGCTGTGCCCCCAGGCCAGGGTGGGCGTGTCTGTGGAGGGCCCGTTACTCACTTTGCGTCCCCAGCGTCTGCCCTGTGCTTCACCCTCAGACAGGAGCTTTTCACCTTCACCTCTGCCGCGGGGGGCAGGAGCACGGGCGCCGCCACGCAGAACAGGGAGAGTCTCGGGGGCAGGGCTGTCCCCGACGGCGCCTTCTTCTTCTGTCCGAACAGGAACTTCAGCTTTCCCTGGAACTGCATGGTCTGGCCATTCAAAGACAGAGAGGAGGGCGGTTCACAGAGTGCACAGCGCCGTGGCCAGAGATGCAGAACTGAGTGCGTGAGAGCGGATCACGGTCGCAGGGCGGAAGCGTGTTGGCAAACACGAAGACGCCAGCTGCCCTGGCCTGTGGGACCACCCAGAGGGAGGGGACCCCCTGGCACCGCGCCAGGGCCGCAGGGCGGCTCACGGGTTTGTCTGGCGGCCCCATGAGAGCCTTTTTTTTTTTTTTTTGAAGTGTTAAATATTCTTTATTTGGTATTACACATAAACCACACTAAAATGCCTTTCAATAAATAAAAGGCAGCATTTTAGTAGACATAGGGAAATTGGATTGGCATAGTGAAGACCAAAAATATATAAAGTAAACACAGCTACCTTATCTCCAGCCCTCGCCTTTAACAGGCTAATAAACACAAATTAAAACACCAGTGAGCTTTGCGCAGTGGCAGTATCGTAGCCAATGAGGTTTATCCGAGGCGCGATTATTGCTAATTGAAAACTTTTCCCAATACCCCGCCATGACGACTTGCAATATAGTCGGCATTGGCAATTTTTGACGGTCCCCACGGGGACTGGATTAAAAAAAAAGAAAAAAAATTATAAAAAAAAAAAATTATAAAGTAAAACACCAGTGAGTCTTGCTTGGTTCCAAGACAGTGAAGCGATTTCCCTAGTATTTAAATATATTCACATAACCAGTTATATAAATCTAAATATAAAACCAATCTTCAACAGGTTTTGAAATGGCAATTTACCATCCTTGTGAAAAGTTGAACACTACTAATTAATCCAATCACATCTTCAGAAGGGGGGAAAACAGTGATAGCATTTACTGTATTGGAATTACTATCAGAATTCAAAAAACCGAATTAACCACAAGCCAGTCTTAGTTAAATCAGGACTGTCCAACAAAAATATTCTTGTCACTCTTTCATGATCTGAATTCTGGTGTATGAGACCAATTAAATTATGGTACACATAAAAAAAGTTATGAGATATTTCTGGTTTGTAATAAATAAGGCAGTGGCCAATTATTACTCATTAGTGGCTTTTTTGAGATAAGCTATCAAGTCTGCCCTTTCTCCCTTCTTCTTAATGCCGGCGAAGATCATTTTTGTTCCAGGGATGTACTTCTTGGGATTCTCTAAATACTCCATCAGTGTGTCCTCTCCCCAGGTGATGCCTTTGTTCTTATTGGCGTCTGTGTAAGAGAATCCAGCAGCCTGACCTGTCTTTCTCCCAAAGAGACCATGGAGATTTGGCCCAGTCTTGTGCTTGCCTCCCTTTTCCACAGTGTGGCACTGGGCACACTTCTGAACAAAAATCTTCTTGCCTTTCTCAACATCACCCATATTTAATTCTCTCTTTGGTTGCTGACGACAGGAAGATTCCCAGTCAGAAGCCAGACGTCCCGCTCTCCCCCATGAGAGCCTTTAATCAACAAGCATTTAATCCTGGTGCACTGGTGGTGCACACGAGTGTGCTGACCCACAGGGGGGGCGTGGACGCATCTGCCTGGCCCATCTCTGGCCTGAGGCTAAGCCAACATCCACCCCTGGGAGGAATTTGCTGGAGGAGATTCTCTGAGGATGATTTCACCTTTAACACTCTACTTCCAACTTACCCTTCCCACGTTCATGATGACAGAACGTAGGGACAACTTTATCCTATTTACCTAGAATGTACAGTGTGCATTAAAAAGCCAGCAAGTAACTTAGGAGTTTGTGATAAGAGAAAATAAAAGATCTCTCTATAAACGAAAGACTGGCGTATAACTGAGTTAGTTACCAAGAGACATCAGGACATCCACCCTGTGCTTCCTTCTTCCATCCCTCCCCTACCCTCCCACCTCCCTCCTCCTGCCTGTCCATCCATCCCGTCCATCATCCAACTTCCATCCCGACCCACCATCCTCCCATCCTTCCCCCACCTCCTCCCACCTCCATCCTCCTGTCTGTCCATCTGTCCCTTCATCCAACCTCCATCCCACCCACCATCCTCCCATCCTCTCCCCCACCTCCTCCCACCTCCATCCTCCTGTCTGTCCATCCATCCCGTCATCCAACTTCCATCCCGACCCACCATCCTCCCATCCTTCCCCCACCTCCTCCCACCTCCATCCTCCTGCCTGTCCATCTGTACCTTCATCCAACCTCCATCCCGACCCACCATCCTCCCATCCGTCCCTCCACCTCCTCCCACCTCCATCCTCCTGCCTGTCCATCTGTCCCTTCATCCAACCTCCATCCTGACCCACCATCCTCCCATCCTTCCCCCCACCTCCTCCCACCTCCATCCTCCTGTCTGTCCATCTGTCCCTTCATCCAACCTCCATCCCACCCACCATCCTCCCATCCTTCCCCCCACCTCCTCCCACCTCCATCTTCCTGCCTGTCCATCTGTCCCTTCATCCAACCTCCACCCCCACCCACCATCCTCCCATCCTTCCCCCCACCTCCTCCCACCTCCATCTTCCTGCCTGTCCATCTGTACCTTCATCCAACTTCTATCCTGACCCACCATCCTCCCATCCTTCCCTCCACCTCCTCCCACCTCCATCCTATTGCCTGTCCATCTGTCCCTTCATCCAACCTCCATCCCTACCCACCATCCTCTCAACTGTCCCCACACCACTCAATCCAGTGCCCGTGGGTTTAGAGAAATGCACAGACCCTGTGAGCACCCATGGTACACCAGCCACACACGTGTCAAGGAGGAGTCCGAGTAGTGGTGTGCTGGGACACGGTGAACATCCAGCTCCCCAGGGGAAGAAAATCCCTGATTTGTAGTATTTACCAATTTCCTGGGTGTAAATATTCCCACTGTGGCTGATTTCAATCAACCAAATCTCAAAATTCCTGGAATGTTAATAATGTTGTGTAAGCAGCACAAGGCAGCTCCGCATCACACTGCCTTGCCCAGACTGTGCCGGGCAGCCGCCACACACACTCCTGCCAACTTGGACACAAGCTTGGGAGGTCAGGCAGGGTCACTGTGTGTCCACACGCTGGGCTCCTTTGCCATGGTGTGGATTAAGGGATTTTAATGCAAAATGTAAGTAGACACTTATGTTTATATACCTTGTTGTAACATTTTAGCTTCAAACTAACTTCTCTGGCTTGTTTCCTCTATTCAGTTTTTTGTTCTGCAGTTTCATTTTAAACTATATTCCAATCTCTGCTTTATTGCATAATAAAGTCCTTCCAATTAAAAACTCTGGAAATAAGAGTTTTTAATTATCCAGGCATTGGTTCTATAATTTTTAAAAAATCATCAACATTTTTTCTTTTTTTTTTTTTTGAAATAGGGTCTGGCGCTTTGTCCCCCAGAGTGCAATGGTGTCATCATAGCTCACAGCAACCTTAAACTCCTGGGCTCAAGCGATCCTCCTGCCTTGGCCTCCCAGAGTGCTAGGGTTGCAGGTGTGAGCCACCCCGCCCAGCCTGAACAACATTCCTTATCAACCAATAAATAGTATCTTGATTTCTGCAAAATTTAAAACAAAATAATATCAAAATAAAAGACTTAATTGTTGACCTTAATTGTTGACTTAATTGTTGCCTAAGTCAGTGGTCCCCAATCTTTTTGGCACCGAGGACCGGTCTCATGGAAGACATTTTCCACAGATGGCGGTGGAGGGCAGTCGGGGCCCAGGCGGTGACGCCAGTGATGAACACGGCTGTCAACACAGAGGAAGCTTCACTTGCGCCTGCTGTGCGGCTGCCCCCCACCCGCTAGGTTTTCTGGGAGACAATTTTCCCAGGGATGGGGGTGGACAGAGGAGCTCTGTGCCAGGTCCCTAGCAAGGGGTGGGGCCGCAGACCTGGATGGCAGGTGCTCTGTGCGCAGGGGTGCAGGGGCGACCGCAGGTCTGAGGGTGTGGGGAGGCAGAGGAAGATGGGGGGCGCCGCAGAAACACACAGATGCACGAGACACTTCCTCCATGGGGTATACGGGCCCAAGGTTCCTCAGAGAAGTCCCCCTCCATGCATGAAGAGTGCATGTCCCTGTTCTTGCTCGTCAGAGACACAGACCAAACACATCCACAAGGGAAGTGGTGATGAGAGTAGAATCCAGGGGCACGGAACCTCCATTTCACTGCTATGTAGCCAGAGCCAAAACATTGCCAGGACACAACCAGAGCAACTCACCAAGCCACTGTCACCCTGCACACACGCAAAGGAGCCTGCAGATTGGCCTGCCTAGGGTGGCGGCCTGAGCACTGGACATGGGCATTGGCCCTGGGCCCCAGCCAGAGAGGGCCAGGCGGGACGCACAGGGAACAGGGAGGGAGGCCTGTGCAAAGCACAGCAGGGTCAGGCAGAACACCGGTGGGTGAGCCTGGAACTGGCCAGTGCACAGGAAGGACAAGGTGTTTTTCATTCTCTACCTTTTTTCTCTTTTCTGACAGAAATCTCTTACTTTCTTGACAGAAATCTCTCTCTTTTCTGACAGAAATCTCACTTTCTTGACAGAAATCTCCTCTTTCTTGACAGGAATCTCCCCTCTTTCTTGACAGAAATCTCCCTTTTCTGACAGAAATCTCTTTTCTGACAGAAATCTCCCTCTTTTCTGACAGAAATCTGTTTCTTGACAGAAATGTGTTTCTTGACAGAAATCTCTTTTCTGATAGAAATCTCCCTCTTTCTTGACAGAAATCTCTTCTTTCTTGACAGAAATGTCTCTTTTCTGATGGAAATCTCCTCTTTTCTGACAGAAATCTCCCTCCTTACAGAAATCTGTCTCTTTCTTGACAGAAATATCCCTGTTTCTTGACAGAAATCTCCTATTTTTCTGACAGAAATCTCCCTCTTTCTTGAGAGAAATTTCCTTCTTGACCGAAATCTGTCCCTTTTATGACAGAAATCTCTCTCTTTTCTGACAGAAATCTCTTCCTTTCTGACACATATCTGTCTCTTTTCTTGTTCCAGCAAGTATTACAGCAAGTGCTAACAGCAACTGACCAGGGAAAGAGCCGAGCGGCACACAGAGGGTCGGAGAATCAGCCTTTATTCCACCCTCGGGCTCAGAGGGGCATGCCACCAAATTCTGAGCACCGCTTCCTTGTTCTCCTCCAGTTGTATGCACTTCTTCGGGTTACACACACCAATCAACTATGAGCATGAGGAGTTATCCAATCAGCGGTGAGATTCAAAAAGCATCAATCAGCAACAAACTTTACATATATAATCAGCAACAAGTTTTATATATACACAACCAGCAGTTGGATTCAAAAAGCATCCAATGAGCAACAAACTTTACATATCCAATCAGTAGTGGGATTCAAAAAGCATCCAATCAGCAACAAGCTTTACATATCCAATCAGCGGTGAGTTCAAGCATGGGGCCGCGGGGTGGGGGTTTTTCCCTGTCATTCTGACAGAAATCTCCTCTTTTCTGACAGAAATCTCTTACTTTCTTCACAGAAATCTCCACTTTCTGACAGAAATCTCCTCTTTTTGGACAGAAATCTCCCTCTTTTCTGACAGAAATCTGTTTCTTGACAGAAATCTCCTCTTTTCTGACCCAAATCTCCCTCTTTCTTGATAGAAATCTCCTCTTTTCTGACAGAAATCTCTTAATGTCTTGACAGAAATCCCTCTCGTCTGACCGAAATCTCACACTTTCTTGATAGAGGTCTCCTCTTTTCTGACAGAAATATCCTGTTGTCTGACAGAAATCTCTCACTTTCTTGACAGAAATCTCTTTTCTGACAGAAATCTGTCTCTTTCCTAACAGAAATCTCCTCTTTCCTGAAAGAAATCTGTCTCTTTCCTGGCAGAAATCTCTCTGTGTCTTGATAGAAATCTCTTTCCTGACAGAAATTTCCCTGTGTCTTGAAAGAAATCTCCTCCTTTCTGACAGAAATCTCCTGTTTTCTGAGAGAAATGTCCTCTTTTCTGACAGAAATATCTCTTTTCTGACAAAAATCTCCTCTTTTCTGACAGAAATCTCTCTGTTTTTTGGCAGAAATCTCTTTTTTGATATAAATCTCTTACTTTCTTGATAGAAATCTCCCCCTTGTCTGACAGAAATCTCCTCTTTTCTGAGAGAAATCTCCTTTTTTTCTGACAGAAATATGTCTCTTTTCTGACAGAAATCTCTTACTTTCTTCATAGAAATCTCTCTCTTGTCTGACAGAAATCTCTCTTTCCTGACAGAAATCTCCTCTTTTCCGACAGAAATCTGTCTTCTTGACAGAAATCTCTTTCTTGACAGAAATCTGCTCTTTTCTGACAGTAATCTCCCTCTTTCTTGACAGAAATCTCCTTCTTGTCTGACAGAAATCTCCTCTTTTCTGACACCAATATCCCTCTTGTCTGACAGAAATCTCACTTTCTTGACAGAAGGTTCCTCTTTTCTGATAGAAATCTCCTGTTGTTTGACAGAAATCTCTTTTCTGAGAGAAATTTCTCCC